CAACCTGCTCTAAACTTATAGTACATCACTTTCTGCCACTATATTTGTTTTGGTCTTCTGTTTGTTTCATTCCCTCCTAGTGGTACAACAAGAAATATCATAAAATAGAGAAGAGTGCCCATACAGTAGCTTAAAGGAATTAGAAATGCCTATACAAGGACAAACTATTAAGATTTCTTTATCAGAAATCAAAACAAAACAAAACAAAACAAAAACAAACAAACAAACAAAAATACTTGGAAGCTTTTCCAGAAAAAGGAATGGATAACACATTTCATTAAAACTATAAGTCTCTAAACCTACTATCATAGGATGAAATAATGAACATGGATCATTATGATAAGCATATTCATCTGTAGTTAAACTGGTGACAAAGCACAGTGTTCTAGTTGTAGATATGAAAGAAGATTCCCAACTGCAAGAGTCAGAGAAATCTTGGCTGTTTCATCACAGGTAAAATGTGTTATTCGTTATAACACATTGATTTTCAAAAAACTTCTGTCTTGAAATAGAACTTACAGACCAATAATTCTAAACTCTCTCAAATGCTAACTGTTAAAAGTTTGAACATTAGCCTAAAAAAGGATTTATACTACAAGAACAGGTGTGTGGGGGGGAAAGCTCTTTGTGAATCCCCAGCATAATATTTCAATTTCTAAGCAAGTTATAGGTTATTTAATGAAAGAAATAAAGAATAACCTTCTAAACCATCTAATGAAATACTAGCTATTTTTACATGACTTACAAACAATAAGGACTTAAAAAGAATTGTTAATTATAGAAATAGGTTATTGCACTTGCCCCTGCCCCCCAGTTTCAGATAAATACAAAAGTGGTGCTCTATTACAGAAATGTCCACTAGGAGCAACTGTGGTATCACTGTTAGGCAAACTGAAAAAAATATGTGCATAGGGAGTGCTTGCTAAAATGTGCTGTTTGTGAGTGAAAGAGCTTGAATTTTGGACTCTTCTTTGTCTCTTTAATTTCAGCAAGCAAGATTAGGCCGGAAGTTAGGATAAACATTTTAGTGTCAACTCTAGAACAGACCATCCAAAGAAATGAAAACCTTTATCACCACTAAGATTTTTGATGCGGGTTAGCAAAATCTTTTGGGAACAATATTGTGTTTTGAAAAACAGGATATCTTCTGAGGTCCATTTAACCCCAGTCCTGCCACTATTACGTAACAGCTTCTACATAGCTGAGCACTGAATGCCCTTGCTATTAAAACATTTTGATTTCACTTTTTTTTTTTTTTTCCTAAAGTATGAACAAAATTTTGGGACCTAATTATGAAGGAGACCGTGTAAAATATCTAGGAAAATTATATTTTAAAATTCTACTTAATATCTCTATCTATTTTCGTTTCAAAGAGGAGTTAATATTTAACAGTATACCCTCTCATACTAATGTCTCAACCTATTTTTTTTTCTCTGATTCTAAATAAGCACTGATCATGAAAACTGACTCTATTTAAATGATGTTTTAAATTATTCACTAGGTGAAGGAGCCCTTCTTCAGTCTTATATCAGAATCCATGCATTTCAGCATCTTCACCTTTAATCCCTTTTGGGAATAAGGATAGGATGGTGGAGAAATACTCCTATTTTCTTCTTGATGCCAAAGGTCACCTTTATTTACTGGTATTTGTAGAAAATGTGTCAGTAGCTATACAATCAGGTTGCCTTCATAACTTTTTTTTTTTTTTCTTAAAGACATAGCTTAAATAATTTCACCAAAAGTGCTAATAAATAACAGCATGTTGTTGTGTCAAATTTTTGAATAGAATTCCTAACACTACTGTTCTCAAGCCCAAACCCTCTAACCCCACCACACCTCCAAGGAATCACCAGAAAAATCCTCCTGAAAGTCTCAAACAGTGATGTGATACTGAAGAAGCATTTAAGATCAAAGCCAATAAAAGTGATTAAGAATATTAAGCAAGAAAAACATCTTTCCTGATAATTATTGAAGCACCATATCAAAGGGTGTTATTTTGGTTTAAAGTTGAAATTCATTTGCTTTAAGGTTTTTGTTTTGTTTCTGTCTTAATAGTTATTATTTTTTTTACAGATCTCATGGAAAAAAACAAACATTTCAAACGAAAGCTTAGAAATATCAAGCTACTTAAAATTTCTTGCCAAAGGATTTAACAGCTAATATCCAGCCAGCCCTGGTTCATACAAGAGTTGCCCAAACAGCTTGACCAGCCACAAGTTATTCACAGAAACAGTCCCTGGATTACTTACTACTCTTTTAATGATGCTGTATAGTAATAATTTAGCAATAGGGTGGTTTGTAGTTATATAAAGCAATGTTTTTGATGTGGATTCAATAATACATAAGATTATCTAGTCCTATTTCCCCCTATTTTTTAATCTGTGGACGAAGTCACTTTTTTATTTTCCTTTCTTTTCTTTTCAAATTTAAATTCTTTCTGCAACTTTTCAGGAAAAACAGCTGGGTTATACAGGCAAATACCTCAGGAAGGTAGAACTAATTGCTCCAATTATTACTGGAAAGCCAGGTGGGCAAATTAGAGAACTGGACCAATCAAAGATAGATGAAAAAAATGTTTCCCAGAGTTTTGGGAGGAAGCTAATCATTCTTAGGTTTATGATGCTGTTGTTTTTTATCTTGAAAAATTTTTTCTAATTATTTAGGTATTTAGGTATTAGTAGTAGTTATTCCTAGTTTGGGGAAGCATGTATAAAATGTTACAGATAACTTAAAATAGAAAGAGAAGGAGAAAGACTACTGTCAGTGTATTCAAGCCTCATTCATGGCTTGACGATCCCTTATGACAGAAAGAATATCCCACTTTTCAATTTTTGAAATACAAATTATCATTCACCTTAATAAAGGTGGTGCAGTATGAGGGAATCAGCATGTGACAGGCTAGATGCAAGTGCAGCTGCAATATTTACTTTATATTCACTTATCCTACTTCCCCTCCCCCCCTTTTTTTCCCCACTTTGTATTAAAGCAGTTATTCAGGCAAGAAATCAAAAAATCACCTTTTGCTAGTATTTTCTGCTTTAAATATTGGTGGCATTGATTAATCTTATGCTGTCCAGAGTACTAGAGAGTAATCCTTTTATATTAGCTAGAAGACGATGGCAGAAAGCAAGGTTGTGATTTTATGTTAAAGACAGTTTAAAAAATGAGAGGGTGAACTGTAGCCTTTTTATTTATAAAGATAGTAGAGGAACTTGACAATGAGTTATTCTTTCATTTAGATCTATTCCTGGGCAAGGATCACATTTTAACTCTTTTATTTAGAGTCAGAAATATTTTATTTGAGAAACAATGTTTAAGTCACAATGGTTCAATAAACCTATAAACACGGGGCTTATTACTGCTAAAAAACGTAGTTTAGAAAAGAGATGAACAAGTTTGTATTTGTCTTTAAGAAATGTATTGAGAGTGTTCAGCAATTTCTTTTTCTATATACTACTAGACATGAACTGAGAAACAAACAAAATATATATATAATTCAGAGAATGCTCAGGTCAGTGTTGGTAACACTTTAGATTGACTGATTTTCTCCTTAAATTCATGGCTCAATATCCATTACAATCAAGTCAACAGTCAAGTACTCAGGGATTACAAGATTTTATTGATTCAAGAAATATGCTTGAAAGTCCAGCCTATTTTTTCAGGTTCTCTTATGTTTTAGTATGTGGTAGCACTAAAGATTCAACACTGATGAGTTATTGGGAAGACAACACAAGCAAAGACAATATATCCCATTTGTGTAAGACCACAATAGATGGTTCTGTTTGTAGTTTTGAGATAGTATTTTAAAACGAAAAGAACTGGATAGAGCCTTGGTACAGAAACATGGAACTACTGCAAAACAAATTAAATTCTCTGCTGTTGTGAAAGAAACTGGTTCTGTCTTGTTCATTTACTGCTGATAATTATATTCTAGTGTTTTGCGAGTCAGGGATTATGTGGTAGAGGATAGGAATTTAAAAAAAAAAAGTTAAATTTAACTAAATTTAAGAAAAATAAATGCAATGTATGATTTGCAGGTTAATTGGAGACTACTGCCATTCATCCATTTATTTATTCACTTCCTGACATAAACCTAGAAATTAGAAGTTGTACAGTATATAATTTAACTTTTTTTTTTGTATATTTAAGAACAGTTAAAAAGAAAGATGGCATTATGTTTCACAGAAGTTACCTTCTAATAGACACAAAAATAGAAATTATACTTGATTATGAAAGAATGAAAGTTTTAGATGATCACAGTTATATAATTTCTGTTTAACCCAATCTCTCTCTTACTTTTTTCCCAATCTCAGTTCTTATTCAAAGTCATCATTAGTTATAAAAAGAGAGTAAAAAACTCCTTGATTTTAATCCAGCAAGATGTCCAGTCCTAATTATAACCTGCTTCATGAATATTAAGTATCATATGTTAATCTGATTTCACAGTCCTCTTTTTCTGTGAAATAATACAGATAACTTCAAGTTTCTCATCCACAATAAAATACGTATTTTCAGCCTAGGCAACTAAAACATCAAAGTAGAAATGTGTGAATAGGAAAGAATTTTCAAATCTCAGTAACGGTATTGTGATTAGTCTTTGCTTCATCTGCCTTCTTTTCCCCTCTCACTTGTATCTATCCGGTTGAAGGTCTGAAATAAAGACCATTTGTCTCTGAATGTCTTCAGAAGGCCTAATGTTATGCTTCTTTTAGTTCGACCATTGGAGTTAAAAATAAACAACAACAACAATAGAATGCTAAATTTTTACATTGTGATGATGTGGCAAGTATGTTTAGGCAGCATCTAAAATCCTTGCTCTTTCTCAGTAATAACCCAGTGAGTACTTTTACTCAATTAAAGTTACTTTAGCCTGACTAAACCACAAGTAAAAGGAGAATGAACCAATACATTTTTCTGAGTTTTAATTACTTTGTAGAAAGCAGAAATGCTTGGCTGTGCTTGTACTGTCAGTTTGTTTCATGTCTTCTTTTACTCAACAGCTAATCCACATATTACTCCTGGGTACCCCTTCAAGAGAAAGGAAGATACAGCTTGCAAGACCTTTTTTCCATCTGCTGTATCTATTTCAGGCAGGCATGGTGAACAGGAATTTCACCAGGACTACTCCAGGAGATATGAAGAAGAATTTATGGGTCAAATGATTGCCAGTCACTTACTTCCAGGTGTCATGCACCTTTCCTCCCAAATGTTATTGGAGTGTTAGAGTGACATCCTGCACCTCTTTTAAGGTTTGTATGCTTTTTTTTTTTCTCCATCTGTAACTCAGGCAAATGCATAAAATGCAAAAACCAAAATTCTGGAAAAGTTTATGAATGTTTATGTAAATAATGGGTACTGCTCTATTATCTTGCACAATATCAGTAATCTCGTTGTTAGACTGTGAAAAATTAAATGTGTAAATGTGTAAATATATTCCTCCTGCTCAGGTCTGGAAATAGGTCTACAAAAGTTTTATAAGAACATTCTAGACATTTCGGATCAGTTTCACTCACTTATACATTGAGAGAGCTTCCTCCTTATGGGAATTCATTTTAGTACACTGTTGATGCTCAAAGGAATAGTGGAAAGGTCAGAAAGTGAACAGTTGGGCCATGGTGGAACAGCGTAGAGAAGTGTTTGGTATTCGGGACATGGACTGGATGGAAACCCAAAGAAAAATAGTAATAAATAAATAAATAAATCACTATGTTGAAGGAAGTGGGTGGGGAGTCACTCAGTTCCCATATAATATTTACAGTTTGCTGTCAACGAGGCCAAGCAGAGAGTATGATAGAGGCTTTGCAAGTATTCCTTCACTCCAAAGAATACTGATCAAGTGAAGCCAGGTCATGCTTAATGATGTTTCCTAAAATACTTTTCATCTTTCCTAAATCATTTGTTTCAGATGGACCTCCGTGTCTGTAATGCTAATGATATGTTACATATATATAGCATCTTCAAACTGAGAAGACCCAAAATTTACTTATAACAAATTATGTTAAAACTTCAGTTAAAATGCTAGTTATAGCTATAGCTCTTTTCTATTGTAAATAATGGTACTTGGAATTATCTTGTATATTTACTATTTTGAAATACAAGAAAATAATTTTCCCCATATATTTCTTAATTGGATAAATAGTTGCTAGATGGAAAATAACATCTGTGATTTATTGGCTTAGCAGTTACATAGGGAAGATAAACCAGTCATGATCTACGACTGAATCAATATATTAATCATGTACTTTTAATTGTTAGTTTCAATCCTTACATGTAACGCGATCATTAATTTGTCTGTATTGTCTGTAATATTCCAGAAACATGTCATGAGTGATCTTTAAACAAAAGATATTGCACTTTCTGAAATTAATAGAGAAATTGGTTTGCATTAACTCAACGAAGATCACAATATGTATCATAAAATTTACTGAAGTTTAAGAAAATTATTTTTTTTCTGCTCAGGGCAGAATTGCAAGTATAAGATAGCATGCAACAGCGCATATCATAAAAATAACTGTAACACAATGCCCAAGAACAAAACTCTGAATTATTTTATATTAATAACTAGTGTGAAAATACAGAAAATGACAAAGTGATATGTTCAGAGAAACAAAGGTTGTCATAGCAATACTCACAGTTATTTTTACCAACCATTTGGTTGTTTCAGCAAAGTAAATAATACTCTTTTCCAATATTTACTTATAACTTAACTGGTACATCTTAATAGCACAAAAACATTCCCAACAGAACATTAGCACATTTCTCAAGTGGGTAAACAATTACAAAAGGAGCATTGTTTTCCCTGATGATTCTGCTGATGTACATTTTTGTGTCATACCCAGTGAGCTGAATCTGAATCCTGTTGCCACAGTCCTGATTCAACTTCCTAAAAAACAGTTTTCATTGCCATTTGAGACTCCTACCCTGCTTTGCCTTCTGCTACCTGTCTTAAAGATCTTGTCTAAGTCCACTGCCATATTTGTCAGGCCTGTGTGAATGGCCTGGGTGACTAAAATATTTCAAGTAGCAGTAGACTCGCATGTTGAAGCAATTAAATATATTCTACACAGTTTTAAAAGTATCCATAGGCTACTTTTCACATAATTCATCCATTAAGAGTATTTGAAAATGTAAAAATAGTACTATAGTTAAAAGTTTTAAAGTATAACACTAAATCTTTATTTTCAAATGAGAATACAAGTGTTAACTATGAGAGCCACTGCTTAATAAAAAATGGGAATGACTATTTACTTTCAGTTAATTGCAGGGCTCCTCTGGTCCATAACATAGAAAAGCATGCTACAGAAAAGATATAATATGATCTTTAAGATTTTCATTCACTTTTTTTTTTTTTTTTTCATTTATCAAAATAATACCACAATAATTCTATAATCCTGAAATAATTTTGGTTAATCTTGAGTTCCTCTGAATTCTGAACTCTGCAAGCTAATTATATTTACATGCTGAAACTGAAAGGTTCTTGAAAGGTTTTCTGGCCTTAAATTTATCATTTGAAATTGATCAGTATCAATATAGTCAGCTAGAATTCAGACACTAAAAACTTGGTTGGCCAGTCCAGCTTCTCTCAAATGGGAGAAAAAATGCTTAGTGAGGACCATTCATCTTTTTCAGACTTGTAATTGCAGCTCTTAGAGTTTTCAGGTTAAGAGAATTTAGTTGCATTATAAGTGAAAATTAGGGAATTTCATCTCGTCAGCTACCCGCAGATTTTGAAGATTAGCAGAAATATGCCCTTGGCTGGAAAAGCACTTTTAGTGACCAAATGCTGCATACACATCTTTTTGAAAGTTTGTAAAGTTTTGTTGTTGTTGTTTTGTTTTGTTAGTTTGTTTTTATGCATGTGCATGTCTGTGTGAGATACAAACATTACATTAAAATATTTTGTATTTGTATGTACTGAAGTTTATGATCCAAAACATAAACTAGGGGGCAATTCATGAAGAACAAAATGATGAAAAGCTACTTGTTTACAGTTATCATTCTGTATAAAACATATCATCACAAAGTAAAAATGGAAAATTCCTGATTTCCCATTTTCTTCCCACTACTTCTCTTTTTTAAAAGTGGTTAATTTTAAAAATATTTAGAAATACCCTTGAGCAAATTGAAGTCTGATAAGCATCTGAATTTGGATTTTTGCATGACGAGAAACATGTATTTAAAGAATTAGTAAAATGTATATATACAGTTCAGGACTCTTGCTTTGAAAAAGAGTGTTTACTGTTCGCCCTTCAAATTCTGGTTTAATTGCTTCAAATCTGTGCAACATTAGATGATTTTTACCTCAAATATAGCAAAAGCAATTGTTACCTCATGTATACAGATTGCAGAAACCTGATAAATATTGATTTCTTAAGGCTGAGCTTAATATGAAGTTAACTTTAATTGTATATATGAATTTCAATTTATGAATTAATTAAAAACCCAAAGAAGTGCTGAAATGAATTAAAATGATAAAGATATTTTTTTTCAATAATAACATGAAGTTCATGACAATTAAGTTTTATATTTGAGGTCAACAGAAACATATATTGAAAGAATATACCTTCTACACAAAGGGAAATGGAATTTTCCTAACATATCCTTTAATACAAAACACTGTCTCTTAAGTGTCATGCAGTTGTTCATTATTATACATGATGATTGCATTGCTCATGAAACTGTAACAGCCATACTGTCAGGCTCTTTCCAGCTCCAATATTACAATGGCTTCTTCTTCAGCAGTACCACATTCATACAAAAAAAAAAAAAAAATCACTCAAGATTTCCCAATCAGATAAGAATTTCATCACAGTCTAAGTGCAGTAGTCAAGCTTGATGTTCATCTAACATTTTTATTTAATATTTTATATAGTCACCAAAATAAATAATTACTTCATAAAGTAAATATTCTGAAATTCTATAAAAATAGAGCCTGACAGACATTGGATGTTTTCTACTGATTGAATGGGTACTGAATCAGCTCCATACTTCATATTTTTTATTCCAGTACTATGAAAAGCAATGAACATTGATAGACAGATATTATTCATTGCAATCTAACTATTTAATTACTTTAAATAAACAGGTAAGACAAGGTTTTCATTTGAACTGAAGACTCATTACATTAGTGTTATTTGTAAAGGGCCCTCAGAGTAAATGAAAGCCAGGACCTTAATCTATAATACAGAGAGAACATAAGCTAATCTTTCATAACATAACAAGTAAGAGAAATCATCATATCAGTTCTATAAATAGAACGGGATACCACTGTAGTGTTGTTTGTATTTCTTTTTACCTTCTGCATCGGTTAATCCCACTCCTGACTGCTTTACAGGTTCTTGTCCATTCTGGCTCATCTTCCCTCTGTTAAAAAAAACATGGTCATAGTTGTCAATGAGACCATGAGATCTAAGGAAATGATTCATCTAAACCAATGAGATTTGGCTCAGCACAAGACAAACAGGCATTAAATAAATAAATAAATAAACTGTAAATATATATATGTATACATAATTTCAAGAAAATAAAGTGGAAAAACTTTTCTATTACTATTATTGATATTTGGAAAGATCACTTCAGAGAACTTTTTTTTTTTATATATATATACAAAAACAACAACAACAACAACAACAAAAAAAAAAGAGGAGTATAACTCCTCTCCTCACTTCATCCTGTTCTGGTGAATGGTGAAATATATAAGTAGTCACTGAGTTGCTATTTGGTCTACAATACCATTACTTCAGGTAGTGCATGTTTGTGGTCATTATTTTATTTTAATGATTACTTTTAAATTACAGTTTAGGTTTAGCATAAGAGACAAGTTCTGAAACTTACATTAATCTTAAAATAAGGTGAGTGGAATAAAGAATGCTATTGCAGCCTCTATCTTTCTCCATTGGATGTAGAAAGAAGCTGGATGAAAATCTGGATGTCTATTTTCTGGCAGTGAGTGTTAGGTAAGATGAAAGCCTTTAAGTTTTTAAAATTCTTTCCACATGCTTGTATATGTATGTACATGCATGCATACATGTGTGAATATACATGGATGACTATAACTACCCTCAAAAACATTTAATGTTGCTTCTACTTGTCTTTCTCCTGTAAGACTCTGAAATGCTGTGATAGAGAATATAAACAATTAACTTCATACACATGTTATTCCTCTGGGGTTAAAGGGTCAGTGACTCTTTGCTACCAATGAACCAGCTTTACATTTCATGACAGCAACAGAATGTTCACAATGAACAAAAATGAACATAATGTCAGTTTATAAAGTGATTTCAAACTCAGTTTTAATTAAAAGTTATTCTTCTTCCGTGAGGTAATATTTTACAAAGCATATTACAAGTGCAATACAATAATTATTAGTCCCTAAGGCTAGATTCCTCACACATTTTTCGGTAGATCTTCACCTTTGCATTGTAAATTAATATAATTTTACAGATATTTTACTGGTATAGGTGGTTACACAGTACAATGGCATAGTTTTTACCATAGATGGGAATATAAGTAATTTTCAGGGAAATTTTCAAGTAATTTTCTCACTTAAAAAAGGATTTTTTTTTACAAATTCCTTCCTAAATAGGAAAATTTATTTAGCTGTATTAAATGATTAATTTCCCTTGATAATTAAAGCAATATTTAATATAGGCAAGTATTCTAAGTTACCTCTTCAAACAATTTTCATTGTGTCACAAATTCTTTTATTTTATTTCATGAATAAATGTTTTTATGACTAAAAACATTCAGACCAAAGTACAGTTTAAATCGCAGCCTCTTTTTCTATTGATAGATCAGAAACTTAATCTAAACGGAGAGCTTACCAAAAAAAGTGTTTCTATATACCAATACACTTTAAATTGTTTAGCTTACTTAATGCTTTTCATTCAAATTGTGATGTGTGGTCTTATGGGTATGCTATATTAGTATACAGGATCAGAGTCCCTGAAGTCATTAACAAATCAGTGTGACCATGATGCTGACTAGAATTTCAGTCAAGCATATATTCAGATATACCATTATTTTTATCCAGACTTCAAAATAGAACCAGTTATCTGTTTTAAAACATTCTCCCCAAAGACAATCCCACAGGTCTCAGTTGTTAAACAGTAATTTTGTCATTCATTTTCATTATATTGTAGTGTAAATAAAAAAAAGTAAGCATTTGCTGTCTATGTGCTTTGTAACTTTTAGTGGTTCTGTCCAATAACAGCATACAAAAAAATTACCTTAAAAATATGATAATAAAAAAAATATTGTCTAGTCCATGGAGCAGAAAATAAGAAGACTGGAAGACTGGATATATTTTATTTAATTTAAGGGAAAAGCTGAAAGCTGTGGAGACTCTTTTTTTTTTTTTTTCAGTAGAAGTGCAGCTGATTTCAGGCTTAATAAACTAATGCCAGCCAGCTACTAAGTAGCTGTAGATACTGTCACATTGCTAAAAAAATACACAGTAAGTGATACTATTTGGACTTCAGTTTTGTATATGTGAACTAAAAACTGTTGAGCTTTGCTGCATCTTGTGTTTCTGTACACAAGGACTTTATGCATCTTTGCTTTTCTCATTAGAGATAGCTACCAAATAATTATCTTATGAGATAGACAATTCCAATTAAAAATAATCTCTTTTTGCCACCGGAAAGTACAAGTCATTTTAAGCTAAAATAACATGAGTGAAAAGTTCAATAAAGATTAATCAATTTGCACCCCACAGCCTCAGCTCACATTGTCCTCCTAGATTCTGAAGATGAAAAAAGAAATCCTAGTTTGAAGGCTGTTTTCCCCTTTAGCCTTTAACAACTTATAAAGAAATATCTTTGTTCTTTATTTTTGTGAATAATGAATACTTAGAAATATCACTGTTCTAGACAATGAATGGAGTCCTGGTGTCTTTTTTTTTTTTTTTTTTTTTTTAATTCTAGCCTTTTTTAGAAAGTTTAAAACATGTTCTTTATTGCAGCTTTAACTAATATGTCTAGGCTGCAAAGGAAAAGCAAAAACTTGTGTCCTGGAGAAAAACATGGAACAACTATTGCAGATGCTGAAAGAACTACACTACATTGTTCAGTACAATGCATTACTACTGAATAATATTTTGAGAATAGTCAAACTATAAGAATTCAGGCTACAAACCTTAAGCTGATCAAGAGACATTATTTTTTTCCTGTAAAGGACTATAAGTGAAATTGCAAAATGAACATTTATACTGCCATAGTTAAGGGGAAGGAAATCCTGGTAAAACTTAGTTTTTTACTGTGTAATCATTTTATAGGATCACTGTACAGATAATAGCTTGGTACTACAGACACCTCAGGGGAAAAAAAAAAAATCTTGGACTAAAATTTCCAACCAAAACCTTTTGGAGAAATTCTGCTCAAACTCTTAAAAACTAGGGGAAAGTTCCGTTGGATCCAATATCTGCATTTAATTTGCACAACTAACACGTGTTTCAAGAAGGAGGTCAGTCTGAAAATGTAAATTAAGCATTCTCTAGCCTAGGAAAACTGCACTTTAAAAAAACATAACCCAAGCTCATCTCTACACTGTTGCATTGAAGACAACCTCTCCAGTGTGACAACAATAAATTTATGAGGTTTAGGTAGAGATTTGGTTGGTTAATAACAATTCAATGTTCAACAAAGCAAAAGGAAGGTATGAGCTCTGAGAAATTCTACCTATTTAAGTGCTATTCTAATGCATAACTTGTCTGCAGAGGAGACTACATAAGATGACTGGCAAGTGAAAGTGCTACACATTCTCAAAGGACAGAGGATTCAGTATATTAAAAGAAAAGCCTTACATTCTTGGGATGGGAAACAGATTATTCTCTCCCGTGGCACTGCTGCTGCCTTCACTATCCATGCTGTATCCACTGCCAAAGCTACTGGCTGATGAGCCAGTGGAGACAGAACTTTCTGCAGGTCGGTGGTTAGTAGACCTTGCTGTACAGGGTAAGAACAATAGGTTACCGAAAACCTTGTAAGATAACATTAAGAAAAAAAAAATGAATTTATCAAAATTACATACTGCAAAGGCTTTCACTTTTTTACTTTAAATTCCAGTGTTATGAGATCATCTCTTGCATATGATGTTTATTTTCACAAAGAACAAGGGAAAAAAAAAAAAAAAACAACAAAGAACTAAAAGCAAGGAACCAAACCAAACAGTATATCATTGCAATTGTTTTCTTCAGTCATATTAATAGTTCAAATCAATGTCCAATGTTCTGAAGGAAAAGTAGAATGGGTTAGTTGATTAACACAATTATTTTTTTTGCTTTCCGATTAAAGCGACAGAAAACCAGCAATTCATCCAAAATATTTCATAGGCTAACCCTGTAGAAATGAGAGTCCCTTCCACATATTCTTCATGAAACATTCATTGCATTTGATGACTTGAAGTGAGAAAGCTGAAAGCAAACACAAGTACACCATCTGTAGTCACAGAAGTTCTATAAAGAACTCCACCCCCTTTCAGACATAACACTGCAACTGCATTATATTTCTCAACTGCTCCTACCTATCTGGATATCTCTTACTGTATACCTTAAATTTTAATGCGGATATTTTAATAGGAGCTGTTCCAATCTTGCTAAAGATTAGTGTAGAAAATGTATATCAGTATATGTCATTTTTGTCAGATGCATTATTTTGTGTTTTGGATGTTGTTGTACTACATGAACAAGTTTTCTAATATTCAGCCTTTGGCGAGTTGAGAAATATGCACACACATAAAAAAAAAAAGGACACAGTGACATTGCACATAATAATTGATAAAGGAATAGCTATTCTCACATTGACTAGTTTAACTGGGAAATATTAATTGAATTTTTTGGAAATTTTATTTTTTCTCATCAACTACATCAACAATTGTCATGTTTAATCAATTCCAACTGGCTCAGCATATATAACATATAAAATATGTAATATAAAATATGAATATAAAATACTTTCCTGTAAAGTTATTATTCTGTGAAGCCTTATTGAAGTTTTGTGTTACTTTGGTGAACTGTGAAGTTCTAACGCAAACAGTTAAAAAAGATCCTTCTTTAAACAAAAAATTAATCGAGTATCTAAATGGAAATTACTTCAAATGGAAATTACTGGGGCCAGAGCCCAGTGGTGTCTTGCTTTAAGCTGACAAACAAGATCATTTTTATGTTTTACTGAATGAATTATATTTTTGGTGAAGATTGCTGCATGCTACCTAATGTGGGACCAGGAAGCTGACTGTGACTCCTCAAATGTAATGCAAAAACAGATTAATAATTGACACTAGAAGACAGGAATAAAGCATTCCTCATGTCATCAGTCCTTGGGCTGAACTGTCAGTTAAGATAGAACTCTTACTCTGCAAAGTGATTCTTCACTGCAAAACTGAGCTGTCACTTTTTTCTTTAAACTATATTAACCTAATCTGTTTCAATAATGTCTACAACCGCCAAAGGAATCTGTCAGTCTAAATTATTTGGAAACAAAATTATTCTTTAGCTCAATTTCTTAACTTTGTATATTGATCAAAGGCTATCTTGGATGTTAATACAGATGAAATAACTGTAAAATCAGTGCTAGCAGACGCTCTCAGTATCTTATCTGGAGAAAAAGTTACTTTTTTTTTTTTTTTTTTTTTTTTTTTTTTTCAGCACAGACAGCTAGAGCACTGCAGTGTCCTGCTCAGCCAGCTGTGAGCAGCAGTTACTCCATCACTTTCAGTCTGTGGTGCTGTGAGCAAATTCCTATGAATAAGGTGTGTGGTGTGTCATGTCAGGAAACTGATGATGGAAAATTTGGGGTAAAAGAGATTTGGGAAAAGAGAGGTCAAGCTCTCTGTTATAGTTCATTATTATTAGCTTCCACATACTCAAAAACCTGTGCTGAGGCTCTTTCATGTCTGCTCAAAACTAATCCATCACCTCAGTTCTCGTGATGGTTGAGTGACCTGTATGACTTCTGATATTTGCTGTTTGAGGTTATTTTTGTTTTGCTGTTTTTGTTATTGATTTTGGTTTGTTTGTTTGTTTGTTTTAGTCACGGTATGGCAAATACCTCATAGGTGAGGACAATCCATAAAGACACAGAACTGCAAAACACATGGAACCAAAGGCAGCATGGTGTTAGCACAAAAAAAAAAAAAAAAAAAAAAAAGTGTGTCTATTCCCTTAAGCATGAATTTACATAGTGTGGCATAAATCTCAGCCATAACTTATGTGGCTGAAAGGGTGGTTCACATCTGGTCTCTTATTTTTATTGACTTCAATGTAAAATCTAGTGCCTGGAGTAATTTCTTACAAATGGTGGATTTCTAAAATTTAGAATCTAGTTTAATGTGCCAAATAAGCTTGAATTAGGCATTTATAACTGGCTTAATCGTTGTTCTACATCCATTTATAATCAGAATATAATTATTTCTTTTGACAGAGATGTATCCTGATGATACATTCAGTATGCCATATTTTTAGTTTCTGTTCTGTTTTCCCTAATTTACATTTTTTTCTCTATTGATCGTTTTCTGAAATATCTCTTGGTGAATGGGTATAATGTGCCTAAGTTTAGATTCATGACTGGATTTTGAAAATTCTGAAGTTCAATGTTCTTATTTTGTTTCCTGTCTGCTCTATGAGAGTAATGAACTACCGCGTCAGTTTGTGACAAGAGATGAAATCCAAAAATAGATTTGGAGCTGTTTTTGTGACAAACTCAAAATCTGGATGCAGATAACTCCTCCATAACTCATGAGACACACACATTTTCCATATGACTGTATTTTTTACAGACAAATCTAAACCTTTAAACTACTGCTGCTGGTTATATAGGGTACTTATAAGTTCTGAAGATGTGGTGATGCCTGTTGCCAGGCAATATTTTGTCTGTTAGAATAACTGAAGTAAGATTACACTCTGTAAAGTCACAAGCTAGATTTTTTTCCCTGCTCTTACACGCAAAGAACTAGTTTGTATATTGGTTTCCAGTCCTACCTTTTGTCTTTAACCAAATACAAATATCTTAGAAACTTTAACAAGAAAGGCTGAGTTCACTCTGGCATCCTTCCAGTCTTACTAGACCTGAAAAAGGTCTGTGAAGTTTTGTAAGACTCAGAGCAATCATCACCTGTCTTGGACAATTGGGTTCCTATTCACATAAAGGACAAGTAACTAAAGTGAGATAGGGCAAGTTCACTTCTGAGTTAGAGCTTCTGCTGACAACTCCCTGTGCCAGAAAATGCCTAAATTCTTAGTTTTTGACTTCAAAAGTCTGGAGGGTTGTGATTGGTCTCTAGGAAGTTGAATAATTTGCTAGTGATTCACTACAGTATTTTGAGGCACAGAATTTGGATATTCTTTTCTGGTATCACAGAGATGCCTCTGTGTGTGCTCAAATACAAGGTGTGCTCATGTTTTGCCCAAATGTACGGCATTTATTTGCATAGGAGCTTGGACAAAGGGAACTGGCATCATTTCAAAATCAAGTATCCCAAGTATCTAGATTATGGAAGAGCTATGGTTCATTTGATTCTTTGCTTCCTTGCCCTTTGTTGTTTCAAATTATTTTCTGGTCCTCTGGCTTCTCATATGAGAAGTTTTGGTTCTCGTGCTCATATGTAAAGTCTTGCTGCCAATTACACATGATGCTGAAGTAATTTCAATTTATCTGAAGATCATTACCCAGTATGATCATTTGGCTTCTTACTGGGAGAGGAGAGATTGTTTTCAGATCTTTCTCTGATAACTCTTTATTCAGTTTGCCAGGTATTTGTTACTTTCTAAGGATTCAGTGATGTCTGGATTGTCCAGCCATTGGGCTGGGAGGAACAAAAATAAGAAATGAAAGATTAAATCTCTAATATAGACTGCCTTCTCAGAGTGCACTGAATTTCTGTTATTGATGTAGATTTAATTTCATGTTCACCTGCTAATATTATTTTAGCTGAGTTCCCCTAATGACAAGAAATGTTCTCTACTTTGAAGATGTGTTGATGGGTAAAGATTTGATAATCAGTAGCCAGCAATGCAGTGTTAATGTTACCACTGAGTAATTTTGTTTTACTTCATTCTCTACAGGCTGACATGAGCAAAAATTTCAGTTCAACCATTCTAGTGAATAATGTATAAATGGTTGGAGGAGTTCTCAATTGCTTAAATGGATTCTTTCAAATGCTAAAAAGTCAATCAGAACCATATCTCTGATATAGTTATTTTTTTTCTTAAAAAAAAAAAAAAAAGTGTGTGCTACCGCTTACTGTAAGTAAGAATAATTTATTATTCTTACTGCAGTATTAGTTGAATGCATGTGCTTGAATGGCAAAAAAAAGATTTCTGTTTGTATTTTTGATTGTGCTTTGGCTTATGGGCCCAGTCAGAAAACTTTTTTTATCCAGGGAAAACATGTAACTCATGCCTTAGTATAAAAAATAATAATATTAATAATAAAATTCAATAAAAAAAAAGATGGGTGATATGATTGTATCTTTTTTTTTTTTTTTTAGAAAAGTCTATTATTTTTTTTTACAGTAGAGAAGATGGTTTTATTAAACACAACATAAGAGAGACAATTCACATAAGACTATAGCTATGACGAGTCAAATCAGTCATTAGCAAAATAGAAAGAATCCAAGGCTGTCAGACCCTGCAGCTATTCTTCTACAGTGAGTGGACATTAAAAACAAAAGCTGAAAATAAAGATTTAGAATTAAAAAATGGGACTAATTTTTAGAATTAAAAAACAGGTCATTAAATTGCAGAAATTGTGTTCTCTTCCTTTCAATTGTGTAGTTCCTTTCACAGGTATCTGTCTAGAAGCCAAAACCAAACTATAAAAACACATTGAAACAATTCTGTTTGTAAACCAATCAGGAGGATGGAAAATTGCTTTTGAGCAGGACTTCGGGAATAAGTTTTGAGACTTTGCCTGTAATTGGTTGGGAAAACAAAACAAAACAAATAGACAAAAAAAAAAAAAAAAAAAAAAAAAAAAAAGTTCTAAATAAAACAGTTCTAAGAGTTCTCCAAAACTTGCAGTCTTGTGAAAAGCCCTGAGTAACAAAGAAGGCTGATAGTATCATTCTGTTTCCTCAGAGTAATGTAACTCCATGGAAGCAGGTGAAATCACAAATCTACTTTGGAAATTTTTCTGCTAAACAACAGCGCATGTCACACGCACAGTCTTCTGACAGAAGCTTGTCTACTCTCCATTCTCACTTGGCTTCTGTTTCAAGTACTTCAAGCTCTTGCTGCTGCCAAATGCCTATTTACATACTTTCAAGAAATGGTTGCTCATACTAAGAGCAAGTACTGCTCTGGCTTGCTCTGTGGAGTTCTGCAGAATGAAATCCTTTTGTCGGGACTGATAGCTCCATCTTTTGGGAACTGAGTGTGGATAAATAATGAATAATCCATCACCAAGGGATATGAACCAGGTCAGTTCTGGTATTCAGAATTCTTCCTCATACTCAACAGTATTTTAGATCATGGTCTTACCTACTGCAACCTCATTTGTGTATTAGGCACAGCTTTGACCACACACTGAGTAGTGATATTTTGGATATTTTGTGAAATTTCAGTTCAACTCTTTGCAGAGCAATTTACCATTTGAAATGAGTAATGGTGGCAGAATAGCAGTCATCTGAAAATGCGGTGATGATATTTCTTTACCCAGCAAAGAAATTCTGATGAAATAATTGTCTTCCTTGTGCTCCATAGGCTTAGGCTACCTTCTAACAGACTTTTGAAATGGGAGTTATCAAATGAAGAATCTGAGCAATTTCCTGAAATTGCATGTCATCTTAAAATGGTGGAAGCAGGAATAACCAAATAACCAATGGTGGATAGCAGGAATAACCAAAGCAAAATGTGCCAGCTTTTAGACTGAAACAAGCCTCAAAAGACAGCCTCAGATTATTGCTGCCTGCAGAGAGTGAGGACATACTGTTCTTGTTTTGGTAGTGATTCTTGGAAATTGGTTATTTGCAGCAATATTAAAGCCCATTTATCTGGGAAATTACGAGACTGGTGAAGCTAGTCATAAAACAGCTTAGGGCAGTAAATTATGTAAGTGTGAAGAAAGCATCCTAAATTACTGTTTTATAAAAATGAAAATATTTATTATATTGCTTATTAGAAGTTTATAAATTTATAAATATTGCTTATTAGAAGCGGGAAAATAGGTATAGGCCTAAAGGGAGCACAAGTAAGAAGGCATTTAAATCCACAGTCAACCCAATCCAAAAGATTTATAGAACCTAGGAATCAATTTCCTTTCACTCTACATCGTTGCTAACACCAGTAAATAGAAGTTAAGACAGTTCCTGTCAAATTATATTTTTTATTTTTTTACATCTAAGTGGCTAGAAATTACATAGTGCCCGCTCAGACATGTATCACAGATTTTACAGTGCTACCAATACATTGTTGGTACATATGTCACATCTAATATTTGTGTAGCTTTAACCTGCTGCTATGCTGACACTCAAGTGAAATCTTGTCAAAGTTGGTTGACCAAAGAAGCCAAAAGCAGGCATGCTGCCTTTTGAGTTAAGGTGTTTCGAACTGAGGGTCTTCAAGAGGTATAATTTGATGGACTTATCTAGATACAATTACTAAAATGCTGATGCACAGTTCATTTATTCTTACAGGAAGTCACCAGTGTTAGGTATGATGGTAGACCTTTCTCTGAATAATATAATCATTTGACACACAATTATTTGGGAAGTAGTATCCTCTTATGGTATCACAAATAAAGCTTTTGGGTCACAGTAGAAAATGTAAAATATAAAATTTTCTGTGTGAGATGGGAAACAGACATTAGTTAGTATTGGAAGTTTTCAGAAAATTCTGTGATTTTAAAATGTCAGAGGCTGAAAAAGTGGAAGTGTTCAGGGCCAGGCTGGATAGGATTTTGAGCAACCTGGTCTAGTGGGAGGTGTCCCTGCCCATGTCACGGCAATTGGAACTAGGTGATCTATAACGTCTCTTCCAACCCAAGCCATTCTATGACTCTATGATTCTATGAAAAATCTTTATCAGATTAGGTGAACATATCTACTGAATAAAATGTAGGAAACATAGATAAAAGTTGCTGTAGAAATATATTGTGTGTACCACATTAAATAGTTCCCACCTCCTAGTGATAGTGGTACCAACAGGTGTGTTTGGACATTGAACTGAAATACAATGTTTTTTAATAAATCTTGAAGATTTGCTAACAAATTCAGGTCAGGAGCAAAGCAGTACTTTCCTCCTGGTGTTTTGTTTTGTTTTGTTTTGTTGTTGGTGTTGTTATTTGCTTAGTTTATTGTTTTGTTTTTGTTTTTTAATGTGTGCCAAATAGAAAAGGAGGTGCATACTAAGGCAGCTAAAAGCTCTGATCTCTTGAAATGCATCATGTTCTAGCAAGAAGATATTGACTCAGCTTCTCTCTCATGAGTGCCTGTTTGAAAGTGTAGAAAAAAATGGATATGACTACAATAATATTTGGGTTTAGCTACTTAGATATTAATTTACTGTGCTCCAATTGGTGAATGTTTTTACTTTTTACTCTGATGTTGAAGGGAAATTTTGTTGTGCATTGTCCTTCTAACTTGTCTCACTGGGAGTAATAAAAACTAAAGCATGTTGTTCACTTAAAAAAAAAACAACAACAAAAAAAAAAACCTGTCTTTGAAAAGGCCTTATATAAAATAGGTAAATAACTATATTTCAGATATGCCTACCTGCATACACCCAGAAAAAAAAATATTTTTCATCTGAATATCTGTAACTGCTTAGTGATCTGAAGAACAGATAATTATATTTATTTAAAACATAAGTGACCTACCAATAAATTCTACATAATGGGCATGATCCTTCAGTGGGTTAAGTTATTGACTTAGAAGGAGGTGGACTATCAGTCCATCTTGAAAACTGACTTGTCTGGTGGATAAACCCTAATACTCAGCTTATGTTGAAAGGAATGCTTATTTTATGTGAATGTGTAATTGGCAGTGATCCAATTTTTTTCGCAGAAACAAATTCAAATTAACTCAAACCTAAGCACTGCTGTCTCCCTCTGGCTTGGATCCCTTGCAACTTTTAGCTTCAAAGGTTTTGCTCTGAAATTTTATTGTTCCTCTCTGAAGGGTATGAGTGGAATGTATGCAATTGGTTTCTCTGCAGATTGCACTCTTATCTCTCACAGGCAGCAAGGAAATTGTACTTCAGGGTTTATTTTTAATTAAATGTTGTAGTTGACTATTGGCTTTTACAAACATGCTGAACAAAGACCAATGACTTCTGTTGTATCTTCACCTTAAATGTAAAACAGATCACTTAAAATACATTTTTACTGTTTAAAATAAATTCAGAATATAGTATTAATATAGTACAGAAATAGATCATTACAACAAACGTAAGGTGATGCAAGGCCCATGCATTCACAAAATACTGTATGTATACTGTGGATACTGTTTTTGTTTATGATTTCCTTTTCATTTCTTGTCAAACATACAATTAATAAGTAACAAAATAAATCCAATAGTCCTAGGTTCAGGTTCTAGGTCCAGAAGTAGAGAAAGATTTCTCTGAGGCATTCTCAGAATGACTGAAGGTTCTTGTTTTGTTTTGTTTTGTTTTCTTCAAGTGGCAATTCAATGCAAGAGGAAAAGGAAAAAAAAATAAAAAAGTACTGAGAGACTAGGTTAAAGGAATAAATTCTTAAGTTAGGTGTAGAAAGAATGATAATCATGCAACAGAGTTTTTTTGTTTTTGTTTTTGTTGTTGTTGTTTTTTGTTTTTTTTTTTTCAGATTAACTTTGTGGAAATCTTGCTAGATTGCTATCACCTTGTATACTTGGCCTAGAAAAAAACAACAGCTTTTCTAAAAGGTGCTGTTCTCTGATAAATTCAGAGTGCTATATAGTAGTGCTAACAGTAATAATATTGTTGTATATTATCTGTAATGTGTTGTTTATTTTTTTTTTTTAAAGAAAATGCTTTGAGATTTAGTGAAAAAAATGCAAAATCATCCTTACTAACTTGCTAAAATGACTGTTCCAATCCTGTTTTTCCTCCTTTTTTTTTTTTTTTTTTTTTTCCTTCCAAGAACTTTGAAAGCTGGTTTGAGTATCTTAGCACCTTTTCCATTCAAGGTTATAATCTCTCCCATTTTAACTCAACAAAACTGCAGTTAACTAATCTTACCCTTTGTTCCTGTTAAAATGTACTTGAGATCCATTAAACTCAAAATGGTACTTATATGTGGCCTGCCTTATACGAATAAATTAGGACACACTAGTTTGGGAATTGTAAGAAGACAAACAGATATGAAGCCAAACTTATAATATTTGTGAAGGCCACCATGGATTGTCTGTATTAGTCAGAAGTGAAAAGAAGTAAAACCAAAACTATCTAGTTTCCTCAGCAACTCCAACCTCACTAATATATTAATATTAATGTTCATTTTTATTCCCAAGACTCTGTAAGATGGTTCTAACACTCCTATGAGCCAAATGCATATTAATACATGTCCTTTTCACAATTTTAATAGAAAAGATGCTTAGTAACAAAGGTACTTGAAGCCAACAGCCTGTCTCTATCATAAATACCATATATGTGGAACACGATTCAAGCCCATATGATAAGGAAAAGGTTTAAGCATTGTTCCTCTCTACCAAAAGACATTGTAGGACTTCAAGACTTTATAATAAATGTCTACAGAAACAGCACCTCAAAAGATTTCTGTGGTATACATCCTAATAATAGGATGGACATTTCAGTCATGAACTAGTGTCATGATCTCCTTCAGCCTCGGCCTGAACTGAGTGTCCTGAGTTGAGCTGTAGGGAGAAGAATATGTGTGCGGCTGCACATATGCATGTTATATTTGTAATATGTAATATATGCACATATTTAAGAGTTTTCAGATAAGAAAAAGAAAGTTATTGTTATTAGTAAATACAATATTTAAAATTACTCATTAAATCAGCCCTTGTTAATTAGCCATTTCAACATCACATTAATGACTTTTTGCATTTAGAATGTATCTTTTGAAATATCATGTCCTCTTTCTTTCATACAACATTTTCAGACATCCTATGGTCCATGGTGTGTGATAGTGTTAACAGAAAAACCTTTGATGATTTGCATGATATTGGAAAGGGAATACAACACAAAAGAAAATCTGGGAGTCCAGTCTGTAAGTTTATTGGGATAATCCCTCAGATTTTTTGGAAATAAGCAAAATGCTCCAGATTTCAAAAGAACACTGTCAACTTGAAACAACTGAGAATCTGGCTCTTTATTTGTGATTAGTGGTGAAGTTGATGATATGCAGCATTTAGGGTCGATGGACAGGTGTCTACAGGTAGAAAAGAATTTCAGAGATGGAAAACTTATCAAGAGATAGAGTTATACATGGATCAAAACTTTCCTTTCCACTGGTGGTTTAAAAAAAATATCTCTGTTGATGTCATAACACTACTGGGAGAGAAAAAATAAAAATAAAAATGTTGATGTTCCAATTAGAATTCCAGAAACAAAAATGTGTAGTTATGTTTTTGTCACAAGGTATGTTAAATCATGCTTAAGCAGACCAACATGGTTGCACGTTTTTTGTTAGGCAACAACATGAGCAAAGCTATACAGTTTTTCATCAAAGATTTAAGTCCTCCAGTGGAATGGTAGTGTACACTTTTGTTGTTTTGTAATGTTTCTTAGCGCAGGTTTTTTTATGATAAGGAATTATGCGCTGATGCAGAAAAATCAAGAAGAGTTCTTGATTCATGTTAACACAGCACTTAATGGAGGGGTAAAATACATAATTAAATATTGTGATGAATTAGTAGACATGGCAAGAAGGATTTGTGATGTGTTTGGTTTCTTAACCATGTCTTTCTGCTCACCTCCTTCAGGCTTGACTGGTCCGTCAGACATCACTTTCCTGAGGGCTAGTTGGCTTTGGTCTTTGTTGTCATTGGCTGGTGGAGGCAGATTGTCAGACTGAGTTCTTTGAATAGGGAGGACTCCTGCTATGCTGTGTCTGTGCTGCTTCCTGGCATGATTAGACTGACCGCTTTTATGTGCTGCTGTGGCAGTGTGGGTGAAATGGAAACCCAGAGTATGTATCCTCAGATGGAACCAGCTTAAATGTTATTCATGCAAACAAAAGTGTTTTTGTCTGTATTTAAATAAGTAGTGTTTTCAAACACCAAAGAGACACCACATGCACAGCATTAAAGAGTATTAAAACTGGCTGTTTCTTGTATTAATGATGGTGAAGACAAAGGAAATCACCCCTTTGGTTTTGCATTATACCATGGTAAGTTTATGGCATATCATAATAAATCCTGAAGACAAACACAATGAATCCACTGTCAGAGAGTTTGAATTTACCCTTAAATAAGTCCTCTCTGGAGAGCTTTGCTTTTTTATTGAAAAGTTCTAATTTATTAATCTGTTTAAAGATGTCAGATACAACTTATCCCGACCTTTGATCAAACTATGGTACAAAAATTACAAGAAGAATTGAACTGTGAAGACTGACTTAGCTCTCAACTCTGACTTTGACAACTTGTTAACAATGTCAAAAACTAATGTTGTAAATTGTTTTTTGTGTTTAATGGTTTTGTGCATTGTTGTTTTGCTCATCACTAATATGATATATTATGTGAGAGACTAAGAAAGAAGGTTGTTACATTTCATTTCCAAAAAAAAAGTTAAATATTTACAGCCATGCTTCAAAAATCGATATCTTAACCATGCAGTTAAAAAAAAATATTTTTTTTTTCAAGTTTACTTTTTTTTCCTTTTTCCTCCTTCATATGTGGTGCTGTCCTGCTGATTAATATTCATAGTTACATCTTGTTAGTGTGTCCTCCATACTTGTTGTGTGCAACTTGCAAAGTTTACAGCTGCATCTCTGCCAGTTTTGGTTACTTCATTGGTCATTGTTTAGTGACATCAAAACACCACCACACAATGGAACTCTCTGTGAGTCATGCACAACTATGGAACATCATGGACCATGAATGAAGGGAACAATGGAGAAACAGCCAGTTTCACTGCAGTCTATATAAATTAAAATAAATAAATAAATAAAAGACTTCTAAATACAAGAGAATATTGTAATTATATGTATTCACACACAGGCACACAAAGAAAGACATCAAAAAGAGTGAGCACAGTGTGCCAAGAGCATTAAAAAAATAAAAGGAAAGGACAGCAGGGAAAAAGGCAACAGATGAACATTAAGCTGCCATGCTGAGGAATTTATTTGCGTCTTTTACTTGGTTGAAGACGAAGCTGTTGGACAGCTGCTTCAGCAGCAGCAATGGCTGCCCCAGCATCTTCAAGGTGGGTTTGAGTGACACTGGTTTTGCTTTGGCTGCGGGATGGCCCATGGGAGCGTAGATGTCCTTCAGAAGAAGATTTGGAGCTCCCTGGACTGCTGTGGGATTTCTCGATGGTGGGCACCTGCATGTCTAACAAGAAAATGGAGAAGCACAAGTGCTGCATTTATTAAAAACAAACTCATTTTCTTTCTCTCAGTTTCCCTCTCTAGCTACATTCCAGAACAATGAATAAAGCTGTGCAACACCATTCAAAGTCTCAGGATATATTGTGATTAGGAAACTCTTATTAAGCATAATTTTTTATTTCCTCACCATTCCATGGCCCAGGGAATAATTCATTTGTTAATAGGTTTCTATAACCTGTTATTTATGCTTCCGGCACTGTTTCACACTGTTGGAACAATGGGGTAGCCTAAAGACTTTCCTGTTTTATGCTTCTCGAGTATGGAGATGATAACCACTATCCTTTACACTGTTGTAATGCAAGAACTTTTACCCTCTGTCCTGCCAAATGAATACTCTGCTTTGCAACACCTTCTGTAGTAACTTCTGATTTGGAGATAGATATTAAATAGACACCATTTGCTAGCAAAACTTTACTAAGAGATAGAGAAGAGATGGACCAAAGTCTTATCAACATGAGCCTCTCATCTAGAGTGTTTTTGATTGCTATTGCTTTGACATTGCTACTGGCCACCAGTACTTAGTATAGGGAAAAAAAAAAAAAAAAAAAAAAAGGAAAGAAAAAAAAAAGGAAAGAAAGAAAGCAGAGATAAATTTATTGGAGCAGGAGACATTGAGATCAATTCTTCTTTTGTAAGCCCTAGTATAATTCTACTGTATGAGTTCCACTGATTTCCAATGCACTTGAAATAAGCTACAGCCCATTATCATTGACTGGATATGCATATGCATATGCATTATTACAGCATAATTGTTATTCTATAAACTATTAATGTGACATTTCCAGAAGATAAAATGCCATTGATTATTTAAAGAATGTGAAAAATAGGAAGCTAAATATGTATTGAATTTGGCCAAGGCTACTAGAAAAAAAATGAAAAAGGCACAGAGTTTATAATAGATGTGAAAAGCTCATAGAGCTTAGGTGTGGCTATTTTAATGACACAAATATACAGTGAGCTGTCTGGCACCAGTTGGTTCAAATTAGGCCTCAGCACAGGTCTCTGATAAATTAACCACAGAGAGAAATAAGTCTTTAATAAAAGTTTATGCAAACTTCATAGCAGTATCTTGATGTTTCCATGAGAACTTACAAATAGCAAAGGTTTTCCTGTCATCTGGAAAAACACTTCATATCAGGTGCACTGAGTCATTCCTACCCTTAGAGGGATCTGGGAAGATTCCGTGACTTCTGCTCTTGATGACAGATGGTTTTGGCGATTGCTGGCTACTCTGTCCAGAATGAGATTTCCCATGATCAATGTTTTCACTCTGTTCTTTCAGAGGGTACCACCGAGGAGTGTTGTCAAGCTGAGAGACACTGGATAACTCAATCAATACCTATAAACGAATGAAAGCACAATATACGGCTTTTATATGATCTATGTATGATGGTTTACAGCATAAGAGTCTACAGTTGTGCTACTAAAAGTAGCAAATATAAACAGATAATGGCATAAAGGCTGAGTGCTATCAGATTCAGGACTCTCTGCTCATGCTCTAACCTAGCCTGATGTAAACCAGCTGTGGTTGGAAACACACATTTGTTAGCATACTGCTGTGTCTGCACTGATACATCTCAGCAGGATCTCAGTAGGGACTACTAGCTTATACATAACTCCATACCAAGATGGCTAAGGAGTAGCTTGTGAGCATTTGCTTGATAGCAAGGCAAAAGAGGGTACTAGTCATTCTACCTCTTCTATGTCCTAACAGAAGAATTGGGCATAGCTATTTTCTTGTTTCTGTCAGGAAAGGGACAAATAATTTTCTATTTGTTTTAAATAAAGTCTTCAGTAGTATGAGACTGGGTCTTGTTGTTTCTTTTCAAAATTCCACAAATTTTCAGAATTTGTAGGAAAAAAAAAAAAAGGGGTATACCTTTGCACTTCCAAAAATAATAGTAAAGTGCAATAGGCCCTTTAAGCATCGCACCTCAACAGTAAGGAAAAAGGAAGAAAAAATGGTAATGTGGCAATGAAACTAGCAATATGCCATAAAAAAAAAAAAAAAAAAGCAAAAAAAAATTGTAGCCAAAATCTTCTCTAGGCCACTTCCATTGCTACTAGGAGTTTTGGGAAATTTCTTTAAAAATAAATCCTAAAAAAAACAACAATGGGAGCAATAAAGATCCTTTCACACTCTGGTTTTGTGGTAGAGAGGGCCAAGAGCTGCTCAGGGAAGTGGTTCAGTCACCATCCCTGGAGATCTTTAAAAGACATTTACATTTAGATCTTAGCGATATGGTTTAGTGGATGACTTGTTAGTGTTAGGTCAGAGGTTGGACTAGGTGATCTTGGAGGTCTCTTCCAACCTAGATGATTCTGTGATTTTGTAAAGTACTAAAGAGTCATCACAGTCTTGAGTGAAGGAAAGAACAAAAATAGGGAGGAGGAGGTGGAAGAGAGTGAATGGGAGGAAGGTGTTTTTATTTTTTTTTTCTTTGTTTCTCACTTCTCTAGCTTGTTAGTGATAGGCAATAAGTGTCTCTAATATCTCTACATTGAGTCTGTTTTGCCCATGATGATAATTGTTGCGATAATTGAGTGATCTCCCTGTCCTTATCTCAACCCTTGAGCCCTTTTTATCGTATTTTCTCTCCCTTTCCTGTTGAGGAAGGGGAGTGAGGTGAGAGAGCAGTTGTGGTGGAGCTCAGCTGCCCAACTGGGTAAAACCACCATACATGGTTGAAGGTTGTTCCTAATGGGCAATACTGGCTAGCAGCTCTATTTTGGAGAAAAGGGATGTATCTTGTCGATGTGAACCATAATGTGCCATGTGCCTTCTGGGGCATGCAAATGATGCTGACTTTATTCAGTTTTTCAGCAGTCTTTGATACCCATAAGTATCTATGCTTGTGCCTTTGTGAAAGTCCATTACAAATTCCTTAGGGCACAATTTGGATCCCATTTTACTGGGTACCCTGGACTTCAAAATGGTCCTGAGGTACACTGGATGGTCTTTTCCCAACATTCTTCCATGAAGCATGGTTTTCATGTTTAAGTTTGAATAATTCAATAAATAAAATAGTTCTAGAGGTTTAAAATATTTGAAGGCGAAGTTTAAATCTTCCTGTAGGAGCAGCTGCTGGAGCATCCATTTTGTAAATGTCATAAATGACAGTGACGTAAATATTCAGTAAAACCCAGATTTTGGAAAAATATGCTGAACCCAACAGGAATACTGATGTGGCATGCAGAAAATAAGTAATCATGTAGCTGCTTCCTATACATTTATTTTAGTAATTGTTCAAATAGTGTCACTGATTGCTCAGTTTTAGAGTTACACAAATGGATACTGGAGCTGAACTGAATGCCTTTTTGATAAATTCAAATGCAGACTAAGCAGAGGTATTCGAAGTTACTCTGTATATGAACAGTAATTTGAGCAATCGATTTTTCTGGGCTTCTGTTTCTAATTATAATCTTCTTTGGTAATAACATTTTTAATTACTTATTTGACATCATACTTATTGCTGGTAACTCTATATTATATGTCCATATGTTTGTTTGCTTTTAAAAGAGAGATCACACTGCTACCCATGATCACTCATCTATTTTTAATTACCAGGGTATTCAGGGTATTCAGGCCTTACAAGATTTTGCCTTCGCTTATACTTTGGCAATGATATTACTATTTTTTAGTGTTATAAAGAAGACCTTGAATCTGCAAGACCAAATAACTGACTCTTGCTGTTAATTGTGGATGTTCTATCATGTGTCTTGATAGCAAAATTTAATCCTTCAATAATTTCCAAAGACTGATACCTGCTCAGCCTTCCTATGTTATGTTAAAATCAAGGCTGGCATTTTATCAGTCACAACAAGAATCCACCATTCAGTCACAGCTTGGGATCAAAAAAATAAATAGGTAAATAAAATCAGCGAAGTAACATTCTGTGGAGTCCTGAGTGAATTTACCCACTGTTTACCAAGATAAGGACAGGCATCTTATATGTGTGAATGAAGAAAATTATGATCAATTGTTGTGAAGTCAGCAGTAATATTGTGCTGTAAGAAAGTTTATACCTAATGTGTTTTTACTAGTCCCATACAGTGTAAGCAAACATTGTCCAAATACCAACAAGCCATTCATTGCCTTTCGAACTGGTCAAGGGCAGAAAGAAAGAAAGATGATACTCACTTCACCAAGGAAGTCATTCGATGAGAATCTATCATAATCCCAGACAGTCACTTCCAGTGTTTTCTTTTTCAGCTGCAATTTAAGTCAAAAGGAAATTAACCCCATTGCTATCATAAACTTCAAAACAATTATGTATGATGGTATATTTTCATTATCTCCTCATTGTACTATTTTTTATAGAGACAGATGGGCAGTTTTGTGACCACCACAACAGCCAAACTGATTTTCAAAGCCCTGTTTTTGTAGTTCTGCAGCTTTTCTCATTATCAAGTCTGAGTGGTCTGAACTTCAACATTTAGTTCAAGATTATTTTAAAATGAATTTCATATGTGTTATTTAAAACACCCTATTGAAACAGCCTCACCTGTGATGACCTGGCTTTAATACCTGTACAAGTTCAGTGCAGTCAATGAGATTCTACAAATGGTCCAGACATGTACAAGTTTTACCACCAGGCAGTAATGACGTCCATCAGAACTTACTATCTGCAGATTGTGTTAAACATGATAGCTGTGTCAAGCACCCTTCTAACAGGCTAACGTAAGAAAGAAGTAAGTCTTTTTATCATAGAATCATAGAATATTCTGAGTCGGATTGGACCCACAAGGATCATCAGGTCAAACATATGGCTCCACACAGTTAAATTAAACTATAATTCTGACAGCATTGTCTAAATGCTTCCTGAACTCCAGAAGGCTTGGTGCCATGAACACTTCCCTAGGGAGCCTGTTCCAGTGTCTGACCACCCTTTCACTGAAAAACCATTTCCTAACACCCAGCCTGACCCTCCCCTGTTCCAGCTCCATGCCATTCCCTTGGGTCCTATCACTGACCCAGAGAGAAGAGCTCAGTGCCTGCCCCTCTGATCTCCTTCTGAGGAAGCAGCAGGCCTCCATGAGGCCTCCATGAGGAGGTCCTCAGCCTCCTCTGCTGAACAAACCAAGGAATGTCTGCTGGCTGCTGATCTTCCCCTCTAGACCATTCACCAGAGGTCTTTATACAAAGAAGTATCTCTCACCAAAGGTTTTTATATGAAAAGATAGCTCAAAGCAGAGAAACTGACATCCAAAGCAGTTGACCTTATTAGAAAGATTGATCTGAGTGTCATCCCAGGGATCCATGGAGACAGATGGGAAGAAGAAGGTTGATTGATGGTAAGAACAAGACTGATTATTGGTGTTGTATACTGGAGCAAAAGTCTAGCATAGAGGCAACAAATAAATTAACGTGACTTAATAGAGGGAAGGACAAAGTCACAGGGAGTATGAGATATCTGTGAAGTCAGACTACAAAGTTTTAAGTGAAGAATTTGTTGGATACTTCTAAGTGTTGCTAAAGAAAACAGGACACTGTTCACATACTTGAATAAAAGAGATCACAACCAGAAATCTTATGTAATAATCAACATCATCATCCCAACAGAAGCTTCTCTGATTGTTAATTTGCTGCTTAGGAGGAAGGGACAAAAAAAGATTGAGTTGTTCAAAATCATAAGCTATAAAATGTACTGTACATTACATACACTTTCAAGAAGAGCATCATTTCCCATTTACTTCCGTTTCACCTTGGTTTAATATAACACAGGTTCAGACAGTTTTAAATAATTTTAAATTGCCTTTAACTAATAATTTCATCTTATTATTATGTATTATGAATACCTTTTGGTCACAGCTAATTTTAGAATAATGAACAGCTATGCAAATTCAGTTTCTTTGGAAATCATATTAAAATCAGCATATCCCTGTAAACCCACACAAAAGGAAATTGTGTTATTTTTAGCATCTATGATGTACTCTTTAAGAAGGCAAAAACATGACTTGAAAGCTAAGATTAAAAACCAAAAATAATAATTGAGAGCAATTCCTTAATCTTTCTTTGTTTTAATCCTACCTATTTAGGCAACATTTAACATATTCTTCTTAAAAATACCATGCAAAAAGTAAGCAAAAAGTTGAACAAGGGAAAGGTTCTGCCTTGAATATCTTTTACATATATGTAAAGGGGATTTCCTTGACTAAATAAAATGTATTTTCTTTGCTGTTCAAAGAGAGTATCAAAATTGCAATGTGAAATCTAACCTGAAAAATAAGTTGAACAACCTGTGGTCCATGCTACTTTTAGTTTCTTGGGTGATACTATTTTCTGGTAGTTGCTACACTAAGTATATGTATGTTTGCCCAGAAAAAACAGGAATCACATAAATGCTTTTCAGAAATTCATTGTCTCAATGTTTGTTATTTTGAGAGGATGTAGTTGTTAATTGTTTCAAGTTATGGCTGCACAAGGACAAAGAGAAGAACATATAGATCCAGAGGAAAAACAAAACAAAACAAAACATAACACAACAACAACAAACAAATATGGAGCTGAATTTTTTTATTTTTTTTTTTTTGTGGAAATGGGAAAATAGAGAAGATTTTCCAGTAACTGCAATCCTACTTTGCTGGCATTTTTTACAGTAATAAAACTGTGCTGAAAACTTGCAGCACTCTACATTTCATTGAGTTATCTATTTTAAGCCTCTTAGTTTGATAAAGCTTTTATGAAATATTATGACAATGAAAAAACATCAAAACAGCTTTATTAGGCAGTAAATGAAATGAATTTTGAAAAGGAGGAAAATTTGCTTTTCTGAAGATGTATTTATATACTATTACTAAGGCCAAAGAACACTCAATAGCTAGGGATTTTAAAAGCAGCCATTATACTGTCACAGGAAAGCAAGGTTTTGCCTTACATCATCCAATTTTAGGTTGTGAGGACATAAGTTCAGATCCTCATCAGAAATTTAACTGACAGCATTGCTGAAAATGATTTTTCGGACGTGGTCTCCATATGACAGTAGGCTCCTGCAAGTAGGCAATGCATTCACAAGCGAATGAGAAGGTGCACCTAAAAGAGGCAAAGCAGTTTGACCCAGATGACTTACAAATGTTGGGAAGCTAATTTGAGTTTAAAGAATGTTACAAAAACAGTGCTACTAAGCCACAGCTCATTTTGATTTTGGACTTTGCCTTGTGGAAATGAAAATTAAAAAAATAAAAAAAAAAAAAAAAAGAAAAGAGAGAAAGAGAAAGAAAATAAACATCTAAGATTTGCACATTATGACATGAGAAATCCAGTTAGCTTTAGGCTGCTGTGGAAAAACGTAATTTAAAGAAGATAAAGGAATATGCAGAAACAGACAGTGTGAATAATATTTTCTCTTATTGATGACCAAACCAATGCCACACATGACAGAAGTGTCTATTACTAGATTTGAATGACTGGAGGTCCCTTGATGTTGTGACTAATAATGCTGGCCCATGTAATTAAAATGCATTACTTGAAAAATTTAATGGATTCTCCTTGAGAAAGCTTATACAACTCATGACTGGAATAAAGACATAATTTTAATGCTTTTTTGTTTGTTTGTTTGTTTGTTTGTTTGTTTTTTTCTCCAATGAAGAAATTAAATTCCTATAATCGGTTTAGAAATATTTTAAAAGTTTGCAATCTCAGTCAGGATATTTGATGAGTAGAAATAAAGGTGTTGTACTACCTTATGCATTATATTTATGTTTCCACTGATATTTAACATTTAAAGGTACTCATCTCTATAATGCTGTGCTTCAGTATGCGGGAGGACAGAAAGACTTTTAGAAACTTACATTTTCTTGTCCAAGATTTATGTGCCAGCACCTTGCTGATTCATAAGAAATCACTTCTGGAAATAAGATTAAGGCTCCTAAATCACTGAAGGATCTTGAATATATTACTCTTTCTAAATATATTATCTTCAATTTAAGAATATGAAAAACAGCAAGAACCATATGCTTTAATGAATTCTATCCATTATTTAAGAAAACATTTTGCCTGCTTTTTAATAAATAAGAAATTGAGGAAAACAATGCCACATCTTAGATTGTGGTCATACATTAGACCAGTGACCTAACCAGCAACAGAACTTTCAACTTTTACCATCTTCTGAAATCATCCTAAAGCTTCTTTTCCTTACCTGAGTAGGCATATGACTTGAGTTTGCAATTATTATGCAATATTGTAATGTGTGTACTTAGTATTCTTCTCAAACTGTAATTATCTACACTTTGTTACTTAAAAAAGTAACCCTCAAATTACTAAATATTTAGTTTATTTTTTTGTTCTCTGTTAAAATGGAATGTGTTATGTTATAAAACTCGTTATTCTGACCTTGAAAAATCAGTTTCATTTCAAAGAGTGATGTGTTTCCCATAATTATTTTCACTTTAATTTCAGCGAGGTTATGAAAGTGTAAAGGAAAATGAAAAATTGTACAACTAGCTAAAGTCTAGACAGCAACATTGAAAAGACTATATTAGGAAATATTTAATGATACTTATTTGCTGTCAGGAAACAACTGTGCTTTGATGAAAGATAAGGAAATGCTTCTTTGAAGAAATAATATTTATAAAGACTCCTGAGTTTGTGGGAATGACTGCTAACTCTACAGATTGGTGTTGATGCAGCCATGCTTGTTTGTTGACCAGAACACTCATTTTCAGTCTATCATAATTATTATCTTGCATTTCTCTTCATGCTCCTAACTATTGTGAAATTTCTGTGCATGAGGGCTATGAGTGCAAACAATGTACTGTTATATGGATTGTTCTTTAAACTGTAGAGGGTACTTCTCCTCATGGTGGAATCAGTTGGTGAGTTACGAATGTATTTTACTGTATATTCTGTAAATCAAGGCACTGAATTTTACACAATATGAGAAACACCGACATCAGTATCTTACCACTAGATAAAAGCCATAGAAGGAAATGCCTGCATACACTTCTGTGTGAGAAGAAGACAAAATATACAATATATGTGGTACTAGGATGAAACATGCATTTGTAATTGTAAGCATTGCATGAAAGTATGAGAGGGAAAGGAGGTCTGCAAACAGAAAGCAAAAGTTCAAAGAATTCCATATGTAACCTAAAAGCAAATTTCATCAAGCAATAGTCAAAAGACTGACATCAAAGATATAAAGAGATTTTCTAACATAGATCTTTGTCCAAGAAATTGTAAACTAAGATTATCCAATTGCCAAACAGCCACTGAACATCCAACACCCTTAATTACAGCTCCGGAAATGTCACAGAAGAACCAAAAAGCAAATTAAGTAAACTGAGGAGTCTTTCTTAAATGGGAAGCTCAGACCATGTTGTTTGGAAATACTGCTAAGACTTACCAAACATTCTTATCAAACACAGAAGACCTAGGGTTTATACTGCAGCAAGACAAACCTCATAGTTTTTTTCTTTACTCCTTAGGCTTTCACTGTCAGTGAACTGCCATTTATGCAAGTCTACAAGAAAAAGCATGCAAAACCCAGCAAACCAAAACCACTATGATATAGATACTTAGATATAGATAACAAGGGGCCTCTACAGTAAATCTGAGGTAATGCCTCTAACAGCAAGATGTATATGTTGCATGAGCAACCATGCAAGTCCCTCTGTGAGAGGGGTTTTGCTCCATGCAAAATCCGATGTTTTAATCTATGTTCATAGATTCATAGGAAGAATGAATAAACAAACTTTAAGTTAGTAAGATAATACTGATTTCTTTGTGTTGTGTTGAAGAAGTACATAAAAGTATTGGTTCATGAAAGAATTTGATCTTGGTAAGCTTTTTTTCTGAAGTACTGAAACATTAGATGGCCTTGAAAAACAGCTGAAAGCATCAAGAACAAAACACCAAGAAAGGCAGAAAGATTTGGGAGAGCCTACAGATGGTATTCTATAAAAATATGCTTCATAATTTAAACAGGCTGATCATTTTGTCCATTGTGCCTTCTTCAAACAGTAAAAGGTCTCTTTAAAAAGGAAGATGCAGAAAAAGAAGAGTGGATTGCTACATACTCCCCCAGTTAACCCCTTGGATCAGTTAGAGTTATGAAACAACCAAGAAATAGACACAGAAGGCTTCCACTGAACTCTTCCCCAGATGTAATTTAAATCTTTCTATAACAAGGGAATTAAATCTCTTCTGAATTTTGTTGAACAGATTCATAGTGGTCACTGCACCGAGCCTGTCTGAATTTAAGAAGAGATTGGACTGTGCACTTAGTCACATGGTCTGAACTTTTGGGTAGACCTGTGCGGTGTCAAGAGTTGGACTTGATGATCCTTAAGGGTCCCTTCCAACTCAGGATATTCTATGATTCTATGATATTTCAAAACCATTGCTGTAAATTATTGGTAAATGTAAACATGTATCTCTACATTTCATAAACATTTTTGAACAAGAAAATATTTTTAAGAACTGTGTTTTCTGTGAACTTGCATGGTTTTTGGAATCAAGAGTGATGCTGATTTCTGCATCTACTACACCAGCTTCAGTCTGGATTTATTCCCTCCCTGTGTTCCATAATCATTTTTAGAAATAACACATCCATACTTACAACATGCTTATCAATGTAATCCACACAAATGATCATTTTTATGAATAGAAAGAACAAGAAAAGAGAATTGATATAGTGATCTCTATAAGAGGCAAGGACATAGTTACAAATTTCCCCTGAATTTGGCAAGATTTCTTAGGAGTTCACAAAGTTGCCAGTGCCACTGCACAATAAGCACTGCAGACCACATAAATAAATATAGCAGCAAATTGCACTGAATAGTATTACCACTTACGCACCTGCTCCACAGAGATATTTTTATAAATGACCGTCTGATTCCACTCAGGATTCAAGCTTTTCTGCACATACTTAGTTCTTCGCTTGTACTCAGCACTGAATTTGAACAAAGGAAGAAAACATCACATTAACAATCTTTTGTTTCTTTCAGTTCTAATACAAAACAACTCCCACTCCCCAAAACAAACAAACAAACAAAACAAACAAACAAACAAACAAAAGAAATCTCAGAGAAAAAAAAATACATCCTTTATTTCTGTAACAATTGAGGGTTACAAGAGGATGACAGCCTACTTTGTTTGCTTTCTTTTTGTTTCGCTACACTTAGTATATTTTCTTGACATCTGACTCTTCAGTGGACTATTGCTGCCTACAACTGTGTCTACATAAAGCATCAGTCAGCGAATGCACATATGCTTTGTTCTCTCATTGTATGTGTTGTGCTCTGACTATAAATGAAAGTGATAATGCATTGATTTCTTTTCTAAGACCATCTTCCTATTATCACTTTAAGGTACCAGAAATCCATTATATTTATAGGTTATGGTCTCTAATTACTGGATTGTCATCACACTAGAACATTCAGGGATGACCATGGGGTAAATAATATCCTGTTAATGATAGAAACAATAATTTATTATTGATCCTGTTCTCTGCCTCTAACTGCACTGGAAACAAACATAAAAGTACATCAAGCTCATGATTTTTTATTTTTTTTTTTATCAATAGCCAAGAATAAAACATTGGCTGCATAATCTGTTTTTAAAAAAGACTTGGCAGGGCTTTCTATTGTACTTTGCATTTTCCGAGGATGGGGAAAGCAATACACAAACCTTTAATAGCATATGGATTCATCTAGTGCCATGAGCTTTGATGTCTGATCTGCTTCCATTCCAATTTTAATTTAACATAAATTTTAATGGATATCTCAAAAGAACTTGGCAGGAGAACATAAAAAACTTTCAATATTTTGAAAATCCAGCAAGATACAAGGCAAAGAACTTATTTTTGTCACTCTGCAAATTTAACTTGGGTTCAAATGTCCTATACAGTAAGGTCATACATATTACATCTGCTACTAGATCCAGGACCTTCTCCAGCGCTAAGACAAAATCACAGACTCATAGAATTATTAAGGTGAAAAAGACCTTCAAGACCATATGGTCCAACCATCTCCCTACCACTAATGTCACCCACTAAACCATGTCCCTAAACACCAAGTCCAATCTTTCATTGAACATCCCCAGGGACATCCCTGAACATCCACCACATCCCTGGGCAACTCGTTCCAATGCCTGACTGCTCTTTCTGAGAAGAAATGGCACAGAAAGACCTTTATCTGCTCTGTTAAACTCCCTTATGATACCTTTATATTAATATTTGGTAGTGTGATTTTTCTCCTGATTGTCCCACTTCTGACTTCAGATTGAACCGTGTTTTGGTTCAAACTGTGGTACAGTCTCAGAGTTAATGAACTACATTCCTTTCATATGAGATTAATACAGAAGATGCCCTCCAGAGGCTCATTTAATCAGCCAGACACTAATATGTACTGTGCATTGTACCAGGCTCGTGTGAGTCCAAATTAAAGTTATGTGAAATATGCCTGTGTTTCATTGACACATATATAACAATGTTTGGTCTTCAGCACCACCAGTTTCATTCTACAAACTCAATACTGTTGTGCAGTGCTCACCTCTAATTATTGGACTTAGTGGCTGTACACACTAAACTTTCCTGAAGTTTTGACACTAAAAGTAATAATACTGCTTTTCAAAATAATTCTGCAAAAATTAAAACACAACATCAATGATTGTATTAGTAGGTTCTGGATTAGAAATTTCCTCTATTCCTTCTTTTTCAGCTCTCAGTAGATTTTAAATCTGATCACTTTCTTTGATAGCCTTTTTTCACTTTTTAACTGTCCACTGTCCATTGAAAATATTGGTTCCCATGTGCTGAAAATATACTATACAGAATATATGGAAATATTTTGTTGTTAATGCAATTAAGCTACTGTGTTCTAAAGGAGACAAGGCACAATGGATCTGGTGTTTATCTTAAATCTCACTAAGTAATTGAGCTGAGTACCAGGCAAGTGTACATGGAAAACAACCAGCATCAGTAGATTACTGAGCCACTACAACTAGAACACAAGAGCCAGAGTCCTGAAGGGGACATAGCATCAGTTTCTTAAAACTGGTATGTCATCAAATGTCACGTACATTGATACTGTAGTAGTGGAGATGCAGTATAGGAACAGACCATACTACTCTGCTTCTGGGACTACACTGAACAGATTCTGAGTAAACATAACAAGGAGGCCTCTTGATAAATTTAGATATTATTAAGTATGAACAGTAATAAACCTTACTGACATTTCCGTCCTGAAACCTACTGCTCAATGAAATTTTCTTTAAACCTAAGCACATTTCTGTTTCTTTTGAATTTTTATTTAAAAAATCATTATTTCCAGTATTAATTTTACTTTCAGTAACTCACTTAAAATGTATATATCTTATAAAAATATCAATTTTTACATAAAAAATGGGTACTGATATGCATTTTGTTCTTTCTTTTCTTTTTAAAGAGAGTAATTTGCAATGCCTAGCAAGCACCACTTCGTTTTCACAAACTTATTACAAGGAAAAGTTCTGTCTCTTCAATAATATCATATCGGAGTTGCAGAAAAAGGTACAACATAGATGAGCTCAAGGTAATAAAATATTTTTGCTCGCAATGATAGGAAAATAAGTCCTCTTACTTAGTTTTCTTACTCAGGTTGTTGGTTCTGACTGATATCTTTTAATGAAAGTTACTTGTAACCATTTGTGCTCCTAAGTTTTGCTCATAGATATTCTACATAGTTTCATTATTTTTTTATTTTTTGCAAAACATGCTATTCACTGTCTTCCAATTTACTGAAAAATGTGAAGGACATTGGAATCTGTGAAACAAAGTATCTGGCAGCCTCTGCTTATGAGAAGAAAGCAGCAGCTGTCGATAAGAAAGTTAGTTGTGTCAGCCACTGTGTACAATCACTTTTTGAAAAAAGGTTTCTTTTTTTTCTTGAGTATCAGTAAGAGATAGATGAATGAAAATCTAGGGGGATCAAGACCATATGGAAGAAAAAGTTATTTCTTTGCAGTTTTTGCAAGGAAAATCTGAATCTTTTTAGAAACTAGATTTTGATAGCATATCCCATTCAGTATTGCACTTAGATCTTTTAAATTCTTCAGCAGATTTTTTTTTCCTCTGCTCTCTGATCTGAAAAAAGCATCCTTGTCACTCAAAATCATCATGAGATTTCACTGACCCATGGAGAGAAATTAGACTGGCAAATGAGAACTGGGCTAGCAGCATCTCTTTCTTTGACCTCATGGTAGTCTTTAAACAATTATTCTGATTAATGAAATATTAATTTATCTAAATGTCTTCTGTAATCCATTTACTTCTTACCGTAATGAAGCTAGGATAGTACTATAGAGCTTGATCCATATGTTGTAAGATCAATACTCATTTAAAAGAACTCTTATACTTCTTTTTGAAGTAAGAAAGGTCCCTTTGTTCTATCAACCAAGAAAGTGAATCCATGATATCCATCTCTTAGTCCTGGATTTTATTTTGCAATATTACGACTTCACTACCTTTTTATAGCTTCTGATTCTTGCTGAAAATACGTGAGAACACTATTCAGGTAGTGTTGAATAGTAGAGTTGGCAGAGGAGAGAATTAAATGTGTTGTTAAAAGCATAACTCTGGAGTATTTCCAGTGAAGTATCTGGATCAAAATTGGCTAGGGGGGAATTAGCCCACATTCATGTAGCCTATGGTGTGGATCCATTGTAGAGGGAAGCAGACCTTTATCACACATAAGGAGGCACACCTCCAGACTAAGCTGAAGGTCTTTAGATGTCTGAAAGGAAGGATCTGACAAATGAATTAAGTTCATCTTACTTATACACCTTCCCCCCAACAACTGCAATTAACAGATGGTAATGCTTTAATAAAACATTCATTAAAGCTAATCATACCTAGTATGAAATAATTTGCACTTGAAATTGTCATAGAGTATGCTGTGTAAAAAGATATAAACTGTACTACTCTTTCCTTTATCTTTTCTCTATGCTTCCCTGGTTACAGATTATCAATACATAATACAACAGAAAGTGCAATGAAAAAAAAAAAAAAGTTTAATAGAATAACTGAAAGTAAAATGTGGCATTTAAACACATTCATTTAATAATTCTGCTAATGAAGACCAGGCTGAAGATAGAGCAGATCTGTTTATTAAAAAGCCATCTGTTGACTTGTTTGGTCAGCTTTCTACTTTTAAGCAAATGCAGAGTGAAAGCTGAATTTCTATTATTGTGTATTTATCCTTGGTTGATACTAGTGTATCTTGAGAACGGAATTTTGCCTTATGTTTCCAAATCCAGGACAAACAAAGCACTAGTAATTCCAGTTACTAAAAATTCAATTAAACGGAATAGCCATTTATGTGTTCAAACAGCTTTAAAGTCATCTGGGTGATTATCTAGATTGATACTTGGCATTAAAGTCTACACACTGTGCAAAGCACAGAGAGAAAAATATTCCACCTCACTTCCAAGCAATGCTGTTCCTGTTGGCATTTTAAGACAAGTTCACTGTGCATTGTTTTCCAACTTTCAGTGAATGAGAATGAATTTTTAGATATCTGTGACTAAATTAAACTCTTCCAGATATCAAAGGAAATTTCATGTGTCATCAGAGTTTGGGCCTAAGATATTACTGCATCAAGGCATATTAAATACTTGTTTCCAATTCCTTCTGACCTGGAAATCAGGTTCATGAGAGAATGAACAGCAAACCCATGCAGCAATTGTGTCATCACGACTTAAGAGAAATACGTATTTCAATGCACAAACTGATCATGCTTGCATACAAAAATGAAAGAATAAAATTGAAAGACAGTACACTCTACCTTGCATTTTGGACAACCATGACTTGTCTGCATACCCAGCATTAAACATGGTTAGGAACACAGAGGAAGCAGCATGAGAGAAAATGGGAAGAGACAGAGATGAAAGAAGACATAAATAATGGTAGTTTCTAGTATCAGAATCAAAGGAAACAGAGGCATTACAAGGAATAAGCAGTCATGTATGGATTGAACTACAGATAAAAGATACTTATGAACAGTTCAAGCCTCTGCTTTCAGATACAAGTTTTGCACTTTTGAGAAGCTCTTCATTTTCATTACTCCCAAAAGCCCCAACCTACACATAAAACAGTAAAATTGCCATATCTTAAACCCAACTAAAACTAAAATCCAAATTCTTCATAACTTGGCCCCAACTTTGAATCTATATTTTGATCTGACTTAGAATTCTGCAGGTTGAACAACTCTGTAGTTCAAAGCCTTACTTCTATCTGCAAAATTCTCAGTAAGATTGATTTGACAAGTATTTGATGAGACTCTTAGGTGCATTAAATAAATAAATAAATAAATAAAAGATTTAGTACCTGTTCCCATTATATTCAGTAATAGTTTTGGGCCCAGTGCCACTGAATAATATTGAATACTGTATAGCTGGAATCAGCAAGCTACTAAATGCTTTAATTTCACCATTTGTGTGCTTTAATTTCACCATTTGTGTGCTTTTAGCTGTGCTTTCCCATATGCCAAATGCTAAACTGTGACTTGAGCATGCACTTTCCTGTTACTTTGAATAGATCAGAAATACAGATTTTTAGTTATGTGGTCCCAACCTAGGAGTCTTTTAGGATAAGTGTGACTACACGAATTGAGAAGTTTGCAGGAATTTGCAAATTAAGGCCTTAGTTTAGTTTAAGGAAATCAGCTTAACTTTAGATAAATCTACTGTCAGTTAAGTCAGCAGTATTTTATAGCTGCTTACATATATGTGTGAAATTCTGCAAAATTATGGCACAAAAGGAGTTATAATATTGCTAATACAGAAAAAAATATTTTTAAATAGTAATTAGCTATTTGTCATTACAGTCATTACAGAGTTTAAGAAAGCAATGGTCTATGACAACGTGATCACTAATTTGTAGTCTTTAAATATAAAATTACTAGAATTTCTAAAACTATATGTTAGCTCTTAATAAATACATAAATAAATAACACACATGGAATGACTGCTTTCTGTCTCATATATATCACCTTTAATATTATACTGCAATCTCAAATTAATCTCAGCTACTGTGATTGTGCATGTTTGCAAAACTGTACCTTAGCATGTAGATTTTTGTATTACAGAATTACAGGACAATTCATTACACCCAAATTCATGCACTTCAATACAAGTTAGAGACAGATTTCTAGGGAGAACTTTGAAGTCCATATGTTTATTGCCTTTCAGCATACTGTTATTCTCTTAATACACAATTTTCCATGTACTACAATTTTTAAATGGAAAGATGGGAAAAAGAATAGATGACATCTACAGAAATGATCATGAAGCCCCTGAAGTCAATAGCAAAGTATAAACATTCACCTGGGAATAGAGTCAGACTCTCCACTAAAAATTCACCATTTTTCCTGGTGTTGTACCTATGCTTTCTAGAGCATTAAACTCTTGGTTCTTTTCATTAATGACAAGCAACAAGCAAAAATTTAAAGAAAGAAATTTCAGGTTAAAATTTCTCCTGCACTTACCCTCTCCCTGGAAGAAGATAAACTTTAACAAAGGGGTCAGAATAGCCATTATTGTCTCTGGGAGCAAGGTTTCTTGCCTGAAGGATGTGGATGATAAGGTTGCCAAGGTGTTTGTCATAGTTGATTTGAAGCTAGAGAAGGCATTTAAACACAGCAAGATTATTTTTATTTTTACTTTCTAAATGATTTGACTTCTCTCCAAAATCCTTTGCCTGAAGTGAGTATTACACCCTTAGTTTTGACTGGAAATAAAAACGTGGAATATTCTGTCTCTCTCTACCGACTGGAAGGAGATGCTAGATCATTATGTTGGATGTTGAAATCATTTTTTCTTTCACAGTCTGCCAGTATTGTTTAAAACAAAGGACACAGACAAATTGATCTATTCCATTCAGTAAAAATATGAACACTTGATATTCTGCTGAATAATATACTGTTTATCCAGTAGAAATTACATACATACTGACTACCCAGAGCCCAAGCCCAGGAAGTGTGTTATAGAAAATAGAATCATAGAATCATCTAGGTTGGAAAAGACCTTCTAGATCATCAAATGAATCCATCACCCTGACCTACCAAGACCCATCACTACACCCTTAGTGTCACAAGTGTTATGGTACCTAACAAATTATGGGATTATGGATGTTATAGTACTATGGAAAGACCATATCTACATAGGAGAGAGAGAGACAAATACAGGAAACAAGACAGAAAACTATAGAAAATTAGTCTTCATTTGTTCTGCTTCTCCCAGTTCCACTGCTTTAAAAAACTAGAGTAAAATCAGTTTACTTAAAATATAATCACTAATTTGGCATTGCATAGAAATGTATACAGTGCACCATGAGAAACCCCTTATAGTCTTTGATGTAAGTAGAGTTCAGAAGGACTCTAGCTGAATATCAATACAGTATGCAGTAGAGTCTGGGAATTGAAGAAGTAAGCCAAAATAACTGCACAAAGGTTAAATATTAGAACAATTTTCACTATATTTTTATCACTTTCAGGAAGAGTAGCATTTTTTTGTACTTGTTTGTATTTCACTAGCCAACTTTAAAGAGGAAACTGAAAACCTATCCTGACTTACACCTCATGTTATTTCATCGAGTTACATTTCAAGGGGTAGAAAATCAATAATAAACCACTTAATAGAGATTGCTTTCAGCATGCTTATTCAACAGGGAAAATCAGCTACTTGAAACAACAATTTACACATTAAGAATTATATATTTACCTGAATTTCTCCAGTAATTGGATGGGAAGCAGACTTTGTACCTTCAGTGGGCTGCCAGATTAAAATACATAAACAAATAAATACATAGGCACACAGTCACTTATATATAAATATGCATATTGGAAATAATAGATTCTCAAAAATAACTTTTTTTTTTTTTTTTTTTTTTTTTTTTATATTGCAATATTGCCACACACTTTTATTTTCCTTACAGATTTTCTCAGAGTGTTGGATATGAATGGTTTTTGAATAAGGACAACACGGAGACTACAAGTCCTGGACAAGAGCATGTTGAAGTTTAGGTGGTTCACTGCCCTTTTCAAATTAGCTGTGAAGAAACATCTCCCCAGTAACTCAGACCTGAGGACAAGACATAACGAGAAAAATCCCAGCCACACAATAATGCAAAAGAAAGCGATCCAAATCCACCTAGTTTTCATCTGGAAATCACTGAAGTCAGAATGTTTCCTCAGAGTGAATCAGTCTGAGCTGCCCAATAAAAGGTCTCAAACAGGGAGTTTCACTCCTTATGCCAAAGGCAGGGACCTATCTGACCATCATGCCAACTTTCAAGGTCAGGCTTAAATGGTTTACATTTCTCATATTTACCTCTACAAATAGATGTTATTATACTAGAATAGTTCAGCTCTTATACTAGTACCAACAATACAGACAATGCTACAAACTAACTTGGAGTGAGCTGTGCTGCAGCTACAAAATTTTTGCAGAATATTCTAAATGCTCAATTTTTCAGAAATCTGAATAGCAAAAATAATTATTTGTTTCATACTGATTGTTTATAATACAGAGTGTATTAGAAGTGATGTTGTAGAAGCAGTTCAGAGAAAAGGGAAAGGGCATGTTGAATTTGTGTTGGGACTTCCAAAGGCTGTTAAAATGAGTTGCCTTTAACTGTTTAGTTACTTTGCTGTCTGTCACTTGCATGTCTGTAAAAATAAATGTACATTTTTAACTCCCTCCAGTTCTATATCATCATTAAATCTCTGTATTCATAGAATCACAGAATGGTTTGGGTTAGAAGATGACCTTACAGATCATCTAGTTCCAACACCCCTGCCATGGGCAGACATGTCCCACCAGACCAAGCTGCCTAAAGCTGTCTAACCTGGCCTTGAACACTTCAAGGGCTGGGGCATCCACAGCTTATGTGGCAACCTGTGCCAGTGCCTCACCACCCTTTGAGGGAAGTATTTCCTCCTAATCTCCAATATAAATCTCCCCTTCTTTAGTTTAAAACTATTACCCCTTGTCCTGTCAATATCTGCCCATGTAAAAAGTCATTTGTTCTTGAAGTGACTTTTCATTATTTGTTGTTATTATATTATTATATATTTTCAGCTTGTATTCATTTACAAGGCTGTCTTCATTTACAAGGCATATTAAATATTTTGTTTTCTCTCTGACATCAGCTGATTTAAAACTCACTGTGAAGAACTACCCAAATATTTCATAGAAAGAATTTATTTTATTATTTCATGAATAATTTAGGCTTAAAGAGATGTCTGGAAGTCATCTGGTCCAGCCCCCAGCTCTGAGAAGGGCCAGCTTTGAAGTTGGATCTGGATTTAAAGGCAGAGATGCAAATAATATATTTCTTTATCAGCACCTCAGTGAGGATTAATTTGAAAAGGAAAAGTATTTCACTGCTGGCTTCTCTAGGAGCTAAGGGATCTGAGGATTTAAGAAAACAATCCATTCTTCAAGACATAAAGACAATTACATTTTTCTATAGGACATATATACCCTGGATGTAATCTGTACCACAGAATGATCTTGCATTTACATAATAAAAGAGACAGGTATGCACAGGATATACTCTGTTCAAGGCTCCCAAAGGTTAAATCTCTTTTCTAATGGATAATCTAATTTATTTCTAATTTCTTCTGATACTCCCCACACACACTCATACTCTGTGTAAGAGCCCATACTTTGTAATGCTATTACACCTGATGGAGAAAGTTGTCATTACCACGATGTGAAACTCATGTAAATGCCAGGCTGTGATATTAGGTGTTATCACTCTCTATAGTAATGGGGAAAAGCATTAAATATGAGATATGCATTGCAGAATATCAAAGAGAATCCTACAACATTTCTGGAATGTATATTCTATACCAAAAGATTTTTGTAGATCTTTTTGTGTTTTGCAAATATAAAAGAAGATTTTACTTGCTAAAAGTAAGAGCTGTAGCAAAAGCAAATTACAGGCAGTTTGAATATTGTCTGTCATGAAACTGGCTAAAGTGAAGAATCAGTGCTGCAGTGTACCTGGAAATGCTTTCAGCCCGAGGCAGAGAATGATGAGAAGTAGATTTCTCTTCTAAGAAAGTGCAACATTGTTATGAACTTGGCCTGCAGTCAATGAACAAAAACTGTACAAGTCAAAAAGAGCTATGGTTGTTATGAAAGGAACGCCTCTCAACATGATTTTCAGAAATAAGCAAAGAATGCTTCAAATAGTTACCTGATTAGTTTTGACTTTTGCATCCCTTACATAAAAGCTTTAATTTGTTTTTTTTCTTTAACCTTTTCAAGCATCCAGCTGAATTTTCATAAAAAGACTGTTAAATCCCTTGTGAAGAAGGAAATGAAATTTATGCATCTAACTTCAGGTGATCAGCTTCAGTGCCAAAGCTGGGAATTTAGTCCTCTCATGTAGACACAGAGAGGGACCTCTCCAGGATACACTATGTATCAGTGACTTATGTATCTCCACACACTATTCACTACTCAGTGAATTTTGACGTGTGACTTATCAATCGAATGAAAGGTCTTTCAGTGTGGATGGTGACATCTGCACTAAAAGCCCCGCACTTTCCTTTTCATGCATTGCATGAACTTCAAAGGTAGGATTCATTCAGTCCCATGGATTGTACTTCAAACTGTATTTTTCTCACTGGTAAACATAAAGCAGATGGCAAACGAGTTCATACATAGATGTTTACAGTATCTAGCGTAAGGAGTGATGAAACAACGATTAACATTATGATCATGTAATTCTGACAGATCCCTTAAGTTAGATGTACTAAAACTTAAAACATAGATTTAACATGTGGATTGTAGACCTGAGTTAGTTCATAAAAATCTATGGGAATTTTGAACAGTCAGAATTACTATGTGATTAAAACTGATCAATATATTTACAATTTTTGTTAACTTGCTGGATGAGAGATTTTTGTGTTCTCCCCTCACATGAAAGTAAAGCGAGCATATTGAAGAGCTATCTGATATGAGCAGGCACCATTTGCTGCTTTTCATTCGTATGGTACCTAACACGTTTGTAGTTCAAATCACAGTCACAGCTTCAGCGGCACAAAAATATGAAATCAACACTTCAGTAGTAACCCTATAGGAATGGCTCTCTTGTAAAATCTTGACAGTCATAAGAAGATAAATAATGAAGATACAGAGAAATAAATATCTAGAAAGGTGTTGTTTTGCAACGTGAAGCTTTGCTTCCAATGGTAAAACAGTGAGAAGCTGAGTATCCAGGACAGCCATCAGCTTTAGCTATCTTCAAAATTTCTTAAGCAAATGCAGCCTTCACAAGATTGATTTTTGCTTCTGGCTTTTTTGACCAAATAATTAAAAATGTAATAGATGACTTTAGGACCTAGTTTCCTGTTTTGACTGTGCAAAATGCCACTAAATTCCCACTCTGCCCTCTCCAGGTGTGCAGGTGGGAGCACAGGTAGAAGGAAGTTCAAGTTCAGCTGAGAAATGGACAGGATGTGGCAAAGAAAATCAAATATTATGCTTAACAAGTTCACAGGAATTATCTGGTGACAAAATACATTTTGACAGTGATTTTTTTTTTTCAGTCTTCCCCTGGCCTTCAGATCAATGCTTAATATTGCTGTGAATATTCACAGCTTGTAAAACTTCAACAGTAACTTAGTACTGAGTGGGAAATTGCAGTCTTAGTAATACCAGCTTGTTCTGTGAAACTAGTACCTCACCATTATGTAGGATGCAGTTAAAAAGATACAAAAACAAATAATAAAAAGAACAATTATTTTGATTTAAAACAATAATATTGTTCAAGGAATCTGTTTTCAGAGAGGGTCTGGTCTTGTATGACCTTGGGTAAATGACTTAATCTCCTTCCCTTGTTTCCAGATTCTATGTCTTCAAAGTAATAACCATCACTATCATGGAAATGGATTCATCAGTATGTGTTTTTGTTACATAGAAGAAAATAAACAGGCAGCTTCTTATTGTCTTCAAAATGCTATTGCTGCATAACTAGCAAGTTTCGTACCTTGCTGCCATGTCGCTTTTTGCTGACTGAGGGAGAACCAGGCTGACCAGGGCTGGGAATAGCGCTGGAGGTGGCAGAAGTGGTTCCAGAATGAACATGTGATGCCTTTTCCACTCCCGAGGAAGCAACCAGAGGTGCCTGCTGTAGGGAAACCTTTTGTAGCTCTGCAGCCAGCTGCTTGGGATCAACCCCAGGGGACTTCGCTTTATCTACTGGATTAAAGGAAGAGAGCTCTGTGTTGGTAATTGCTAGCACATTCAAATCCATCTTGCCATGGTACAGGGACATGCTAATGATCTTTACAGTTTCTCATATCATCTACTTGTATACTCTGAGGATGCAAAAGACAAATCATATAAAAGAGATGTCTCACAACATCAACATCTGAATTCCAATCCTTCTACTCAAAACTCCATCAACCAGTGCTATTTATCTTACAAGCTTTCTGAGAAGGTTATTCTCCAACTGAGAAAAAGTATGCCTTGGATGATCACTCTGCATCACATTGGAGCAAATCACACCGTTAAAGTCTGGCCTGTTCACAGCTGGTTCACTGTTGAGAACTAGTCCAGTATGTGAACTTTGCTGCAACAAGCTTTAACCTCAACTTTTTTTTTTTTTTTCTTTCTTAATCAACTGGACATTCAATAAACCTAAATTCTGCTCCTGAGATTATTTATACAAATATTAAAGAGAAAAGCATCTTAAAACGTTAGCACTGCAAATTATTCAAAACAATAACGCAGCCCTACATGAGACATCTGTGGTTGTAATTGTCTCTGACTGTAATTGTCTCCCTACCCCCAGCAATGAATGGGTAGAATTTGCTCTAGAGATGACAATTCCCATTTAGTAAAGAAATTAGGCCAAGTAAGTTCCATACGGGCCTTAAAGTGCTTAGAGTTAAAATGACAATAGGCCCAGCCTGCTTTCTATGTTCTCAAAGGTATGAAAGGTTCAAGGTCTTTGTTATAGTCTTTGATCTTATTCAGCTAAGGTTTAGGCAACATAAACTATTTAAGTTTCTATTCCTAAACTATACACTGCTATGACAATGCCTGGTGATTTGTTTACTTGTTTGCAGATTACTGGGTATTATAGTTTCCTCAGAGTACTAAATTAATTTTGTCCTGGACAGAGGTGAAGGCAATATGTTAGCTACCTCCCGGCTGCTAGGCTGGATTAGGTTTATATTTCTGGAAGGAATGGCAAATACTACTTTCCAAGAAAAAACAAAACAAACAAACAAACAAAAACCTCTGCAGAACCTCAGATGTGATGGCTAGAAAGACTTGGTTTGGCAGACAGAAGGCACTCTACAGAGTGGTTCTATCTCAGAAACCACTGGAAGATGGCTAGACTAGGAGGAAGAATGTCTGCAAGGATGGGGAACTTACTTTAACTTCTGTTCTTTCTCATTGTGAGTCATACTCTGTGTTCACTTTCAGTTAATAAAAATATCAATTTCCATCAAAAGATAACTTGATGGTAAGTGTTAAGTAATACTTCACATTTGTGAAGTTCTACATTGTCACAAAATAGAGGATTTAATCCAGCTAATTTATGTACCTTTTGATACAAGAGCAGCCACAAAACCATTAAACACAGTATGGAGTTCTGGGTTCCAGGGCTGGGTGAAGCTGGGTGAAACATTCTTTTAATCTGCATTGAGCCAGCCAATGGACTGCTTTACTAGTTATTTCATGGATGTTAGTTCAAAGGTAGATTGGTTATGACTAATACCATGACAGGCCAGGCCACACGCTCACGTAGGCCCCAGGACTTCTCATGCTTATATTGGACTGGTTCCAGTTTGCTAAGAACCTTGTTTTAGCTTGTCTGGCTGCAACAGCAATTGTCTATTGAACAGTTGGCTATGACTTTAATGTCTCTTAGTTACATTTCACCTTGCATAACTGTGTGTTATAGGCATTATGCCTATTCTTAATAATTTTGAGATTTAAAGGAATAACAGCAATTATGCTGAGCAGAATGACCTATTTCTGTTTCTTCTAGGAGTATGGGCCAGGGGTGACAACACTGATGCCATGTTTGGGCACAGGATGATAGCTGAGGCCCCAGGGCTCCCAGCAACTCACTGGTACTGACACTAATGTAAACTCAGGAGCTTGGCAAAATCAATTTTAGGACCAACAGAAGGAACAAAGAACAAGTATCTATCATGTGTAAAGTGTACAATATCCAGTCAAGTCATGTGTGATGCAGAGTTGCTGACCAGCATGGAAAAAGCATGGCACAAAGCATGCTAGAAAACATAAAAAAGGCCCCAAGCAGATCCTGAAGAGAAGAGGAAGGAGTCATCGCTATTATCCTCCTTCCAGCAAGGAGAAGTCCAAAACTCTCATCATAAACATCACACTCCTTCCAGCAGATTCCTCCAGACATTGTTGACTCTGCAAGGCCCCTGGAGAGAAAGCACAACTGTGGGACCTAGAGAAACAGCAGAAGGGGGAGCATAACACCATAGAAAAAAGGGGTAGTTAGCAGGATGTTTTCCCTGCATAACAGATTTTAGCTGTTACTGTTACTGTTACTGGGATTATCTTTGTATTAATTAGATGGTGTAGACTGTGTCAGTATGGATTGAACTGAACTAATAATAATAGCGTCTGGCTTCATTTTGGTTATTCTGTTATAGCTTTCAGTTAGTCTAAAAATAAATGCTCGGCTTTGTTTATAAGGTGTGGTCCTCTTTCTGCCCTTAACAAGATTTGGGGTGCAATATCTGAGCTTACGATGCTATTACCTCAGCTTACATCATATCCAGTTTCCAGTTGCTATTTGGTGCTCAAATATTGAAGTAATGACTTATTGCTCACCTGCCTTTACCGGCTCATGCAGTTCCAGGTGCTGGGGATTCTCAGAATCTGAGAGCATGTTCAGGTCCCTAAAAAAAAAAAGCAATGAGAAGCCTGAGACAGAAGAAACTCTTTATTCATGCACTCATTTTGTATTAAGTAGATAAATGAATAGTGGTTCATGAAAGAAAGCAGTTCCCAAGCATGGCCCCTTGTTAGATGACACTTATTTGCAGTGCTGTTAAAGAGCTGAGGAGAAAAGGTTCTTTCAGGGTGAAGTACTTAATGGATTGAATGCAATTTTACATATTTCTCATGATGTTTAACTGACTTTAACCTGAAGGCTATCAGTAAAAGTCAAGTTAGTGCTAAATTACCATCTTTTTCTAATGGCCAGTAAATTCAGTGGTTTGTATGTGTTTCAATGAGAGGAGACTGTGGCCTGAAAATGGAGGTATCATTGTTTGCAAAAGTATGATTGCTAACATCTACCTCAACTTATAATTCCTCTTGATTTGAACTAAGAACAAATCAGACCTCCCACACTCACACTGAACTCTTTTGCTAATTATTATATTGATGCTTCATGCTAACAAATATTTTACCTTAGCAACCATAAATTAAAAAAGAAAAAAAAAAAAACATGAAAAGCCAAAAGAATAATGGAAACAGAAAGATGGGGAAAAACTCACAGTCTTACACATATTTCTGTTTCCCCACTTTGTTGAATAATAATACTCTGGACTTCTTCATAGGTTTTTCCAGTCAGGGGGATGCCATTCCACTCCAGCACCTGCATTCCTAAGACGGCAAAACAGCATAAGGTCAAGTGCTCAGATTTTGACCAAGGTATCAAATAGACTGCTTAAACAAGAAGATTTGATGTGACATTTAGTGAAAGTTGTTTAAGTGGCACAACACATTATCAAAAACCTTTCTTTTCACACAGATGAAGTTGTTAAATGTTAGTGTCCCATCAGCTACAAATTACCTGTTTAAACAAGTCATGAGATGAATTCCCTTCTAATTCAAAATATACATGCACTGTGTGCAGTCTGGGTTGCATGATATTGAAAAACTTTTGCAATTTCAAAAGCATGCACACCTACCAAAATGGCAAGAAACCAAATCATGTCTCATATGTGAGACATTTCCTGGCTAGCCATGGTCTTGGAAGATAGACAGTTCAATCCAATGGCAAACAGCTGTTGAGAATCTGAGCATCAAAATGGGACTAAATTTGTAAATATGATTTGATAATTCAAATGCATTTTCTCTACTTTGTCCTTTAAAAAAATACAACTGGATGAAATTGTATCAGTACAACTGATATTAAATGAAAATTTACCTCCACATTTCAAATACCAGCCAGGAAACACACATTTACATGTACATTTACATTTTACTTCCATATAATTTCTAATGAAGAAACTCTCAAAATAGCTAATCATAACAAATTCTGAAGGATAGGAACAAAGCTATGATAAACGGGCTGGAAAAAACCTTGATCTAACACTGATCTAATCTGTTGTGTTCCAGGACCATCCCAGGGCCGTGCCAGGTATGGAGGAAGCACATGTTATAACACCCAGTATTTGAAGAATCAATCCCTCATGAGGTGTATTCTGATGAGAAATCTTTTGGTTACAGTAAAATGCTTACAAAAAACAAAGTGCAGATTCAGAACTGGGGGTTACAATTCAGGTTTCAAGAGCTGCATTTGTGTTTTGAATAGTTAGTCAAAACAGTGGCTCCACGGGAGTTAACCTCTTATTAATGCACATAACAATGTCAAAATCCAACTTTCAGGCTCAAGACGTAAAAAATTGCTTAATGGGAAAAGACATTAAATTCTTAATATTCCACTAAAAAGAATGTATTACAAAACATCTGAAAACCACACCATCCACACAGCAAGGAAAACCACAAACACTTAGCTTGCTACCACTTACACAGATAAAATCAAGTCTTCAGCTGGGTTATATTTTTATTTCAAAATCCTGTGCTGTTGCATATAACAAAAGGGAAAAATAATGAAGTGAAATGTGGAAATAAACTTATAAGAAAACTTGTTGTTAAAGAAAATGTAATGAGAATTGTTTAGGGAATAAAACAAATTAAATTATTTGACAATGAAAGAAAATGAGAAATAAAGACTGTAACTTCATATTATAGCATTTTCTGTAGGATTCCATTATTTAGGATTTGAAATATCAGATTTGTTCATAACTTTTCTCAGTAAAAATTTAGCAACTTGTTCACAGCAGTCAGTTTACATAAATACAAACTGTGCAGAATGACTAAAAAGTGATGCTCAGAAGGCAGTAAAGCCAGCTGCTGACTGCCGAAATAGATTTGTCTTTCTCTAAAATTTAGCCCCTTTTATTCACCAGCCATTATTCAGAAGCATGATTTTGCTCTTGCTTGTTAGAGCAGATCTGGTTTTAAGCTTAGTTCCTCTGGAATAAAGCAGCAGTAATTATCAATAAATGCAGTTCCCCCAGTTTTCCGCCACACAAATATAACAGCATGCACTGTCTTTAGAAGGCTTCTAGAAAAAAAAAAAAAAAGGAACTGAAGTTATTTTCTTGTCAGTGTGTGCCCTCACAAAGCCACTATGGAATCAGAAGTTGAGTACAATAGTAAGAACCTCTTAAATAAGACAAAGCAATCCACCACTTCCATGTATTAGTGGCAATGAACAAAAATAAATCTGAAAAGTTTTAGATGTTTGAAAAAGTGAATAACATCCTTCTCTAAAAGAAGAGCTTTGCTGACAAAATGCAGACAGACACCAACCTAGTTTTACCACATCCTGCCTGCATGGCTTCTGAAGAAAAAGTACCCAGCTAAGTATCCATAAGGCTATCATCAGTGGGTTGTTTTAATTTAAAAGACCAGCAGGAAGAGTCCAGCAGAGCACTGCTACAGTGCTGGGATGAGGAAATCTACTCTCATTTCCATCAGTGAGAGTTGCACTACAGAGTGCACCACAGTAACTCGCTTGGTCAGTAAGACCAAGCACATCTGAACAAAGAAGCAAACTGAAACGAAATTGAATCTCAATAGCCTCAGCTCATGCAGAGATCCATTTAACACTGTCAATATAGGGGTAAATCACTTTTACTGGCTGCCTTGTGGATTTACAAATGTTTAAAATCAAAGCTATTTACATATGATTTAATTGTTCTGACTGATAACCCTTGAGCCTAAGAAAAGTGTTTTTTGACAAGATGAATTCTTTCTTAAGGAGCTACTGCTAAATCATAAATTCTCTTGCAGAGAAAAAAAAATAAGTGCTACAAAGAAAAATATAAGGGGTAATGTTAGTCTAATAACAGATAGAGAAAAAAGGTACTAAGGAGTCACAAAGAGTGAGTGGTGATAACGTTTTTCACCTAAAAACCAAACAATCACATTCTGTAAATAGTCTTTAGTAGTCATGACGTATACACATTGCCAAAACACTGTATGCTTCAAATCACCTGTGCTTAGCAGACAAAAACAAACAAGCAAACAAACAAAAACAAACAAAAACAGGAAGATGAGAAATCATACATTGCTCTATGGCAACTCTACTGACCGAGGAAGAGCTATTAATTACCCTGATAACTGAATCCACATCTTCTTCCATCTTTATTCTTTCTTTATTATTATTATTATTATTATTTGTAATAATTGGAACAGCTAAATGTAATGAGAGTGAGCTAGTGAGCTACAACTTACTTTTAATAATATCAGCCCCAACATACTGCAAATCAGCTTTATACATCAGGACCTCCACCCTACTCTACTACATGTGTTGAAATACTATTTGCTCAATCTTTTTGAAATCTACTTTGTGGTGAGATTTAGAACTTGGAATCAAAATAAATATACTATCTTCCACTGATTACAAAATAATTATTCCAGAGAGGGAAACTCATACATGCATGACTGTCATGAAGATATCCAAATTTTGCTGGATTAATACAAGCCTTTCCCTTCAAAAACATACTACAGTTATACTGTATCAAAAGTGGCAAACACATCCTATCTTTGCCTATCATATTCATATATTCTTCCATATGAATCTTCTACTGGCCATAGTTGGAACATGATCAAAATCTAAATGCACAATTGCTCTGGAACAGTATAGCCATTCTGTCTTTATTTATAAGGACAGTACTTCAACGTCTCCTGCTGTTCTGGTTGTCCTCCTGTTCTGGTTGCTGCTCTCAGTGGTTAAACTAAAAGTTTGCTCCTGGAAGAGGGCCAGTGCTTGTGCTGTGGAAGCAAGGAAGGGACCTGCATTTCATCAAAATCCTCACAGGAAGGAGAGAGTAGAATTTTGATGTCTTACACTATAATACTATACTTTTTAATAATTTAATGCTTAAACTGTTCAGGATTGCCAGACTCTTTTTAACAACTAAGTCTTAGCTTTTTATTTTTGTACCACCTAAAATAGGCCAATTATTTGTTCACTGATAACAGTAAAAATTGAAAACTCTGCAGAAAATATTTCCTTTTTTTTTTTCTTTTTCTGGCAGTTTGACTAGTTATTTGACAGCTTGTGAAATGGAAGTTAAGTTCTGGTGAACCTTAAAATCTGTTTGTAATAGTGGGGAGTCAGGGACTATTCAGAAGTAGGTTTGATCAGTCTGGGAATGAAGGTACTTCAAATAATTACCTGCAGTCCTTGTGGAGCATTCAGCATGCTTTGCTGATCCTACACAGATCTATGACATTTCAGGGAAAAGAAAAAAACCCTTTGTAGAAAGTTTTAATAACGTGGGAAAAAAAAAAAAAAAAAAAAAAAAAAAAGAGCTAGACTTTAGTTTATGAAATAAGTTCACAAGAGCCTGGGTAAACCTATATCCATCTATGAGGAGCTGCAGTATTGATAATTTCCTGGCCTGGCCATACGCTTCAAAATAGAAATCTTCTGCTGATAATTTTTATTGTCTATGCTAAAGAGCTAAGCCCTCTAATTGCTGGCTACTTAGATTTGTAAACATCATATGTGGAGCAGATGTTAGAAAAAAATCTTACATAACAGTAAGGACTATATTGGCTTTGCTCTCTGCTCAGTCTTGTGCAATGTTTACAGCTGCTCAGCTGAATTGTGCAAAATGCAGCTCACCACTAATGTTCAGTTGCTTGTATAAAATTATGCACTTTTTAATTTTCATAGGTTTGTGAGATGTACTTTTTAATGCTTTCATAAGTTTGAAATACAAAGCATTGCAAATTTGCATATTGTCCTAAGAGGCTACGGAATCTGGAGGTATTCAAAACCCAATGGGACACAGCCCTGAGCAATTTGCTTTTGCTGACCATGCTTGGAGCAAGGTGCTTGAACTAGAAGATCTCCAGAGATGCCTTCCAGCCTCAGCTGTGATTCCATGTAAAATAGTTAAATTTTGCCTTATGGACTATGCTTTACCCATATAAACTGTAGCTTTATGTATCAAAGAAAGGAGAAATAACCAATTCCAGGGATATTATTCTGGATCAGAAAGAGTTCAGAATGCAGCCCCATGAATTAACTGATGTGCTCTGAGTGTTTTTGGAAGTTTTTGTTTTTGGAGCTTTTTTTTTTTTTTTTTTCACAAAGCCAGGAAATATTAAGTGACAATGAAAAAGTTTGCAATATTAAATAATCAGAAATTAGTTCCATTATTAAACTCTGTGTGTGTCTAGATCTCATAGCTTCTTTTAATTTGTTGGTTTACATTCAGTGTTAGAAGTTAGATATAATTAAGTCCTGTATCATGGACCACAGAATTTAGGAGAAACTTAAACTTAAACAATTTTTC